CAGACATTGTCATAAAACATGGTTGCAATTGCAGGCAAAATACTCTTTGCGAAGGCCATCCTGCATGTTCATCCAGTTCGGATTCCCCTGGTAAAGCTTCAGGGCCACTGATGCACTCTTCTGCAGCCGCGTGAAGTTCCTCAGAGGTTTCACAGGGGCAAACTCACTACTTGTAACTTCACAATCTTTAGTTTCACACTAGTCAGTCTTTTGCACAAAAGCTTTCAACCATGTTCAAACCAAAGACTAAAACATCCAAGTGTCCTCAGCGCTTGGCAGTTGATGACAGCACCAAAGACTGTCTCCATGTTGGAGTAGCTCTTCGGAGCACTTGACACCAAAAGTGTCAAGCCAGAGGGCAGAATGAACTTGGTGTAGTCCAGATCCCAGATGAAGTCTTCCCTCAAGGCAATCACACAAAACATCTCAGATGGAAGGAAGGTACTCGGGAAGCATTCCAACCACAGCATCACATAGGAATGGCAAGCAGCAGTGTCAAGGGTAGTGTATCTGAGTCAAACTGACAGTGCAACCAAAAGGCGCTGCAGCATTTCCATCTGCATTCACTGGAGCTTCATCAGGAACTTCAGGAGCTTCAGCCACCTCTGATGCTTTTCGCTTCCTTAGAAAAGCGCAAGAACAGAACAAACCATAGTCAGTCAGAGGTCAACCTACTGAATACCTGATGAGAAAGTTTGCCTAGTCCTTTTTTCAACTTCAGTCATGTCAGACTCGACCAAGGGTCTTGGATGATGTAGATGGCCGTTCTGCACCAGTCCTCAGCTGGCATTGTAGGCTCATGGTCTTCATTGTTGTGCAGAAGCGGTCTCTTGACATGCTGAACAAGATCCAAGCCATTTTCCAACCAAGGCTCTGGTCATCATCAGAAACCTCAAGAGGCGCTTCCTCGCGATACCTCAAGGCAAAGCACAATCAAACATACAAATTGTGTGCTACACACAGCAACCTGCACTTGTTTGTTGAGAAGGGCTCTGAAAACAAACATGACATCATACAACATATCATAATGCACTACCAAGCCACTCTGCCCAGACTCCTTGTGCCTCTGGCACTTCACCCTCATCATCCACATCCCCCTCACCCTTCACCCTGTTGTGCTCCTCCATCCTCTTTCGATCCTGAGAGGTAGTGCAGCAAAGATACAGTGTGAACACCCTGGACAGCCTGTGAAGCTGGACACCCATCCCTGCACCATACCCTGAGTTAAACCAATGCTTCCACCACCTACAGGCAGCCAAGGTTCTCTGCGCAATTGCGCAGGAGTCTTCTTCTTCTTCCAAGGGGCGGCATAGATCGTGAGGTTGTGGATGGTGCAGTTATGCATCATATGAGCTGGATCCGCCATGGCCAGTTGCATGTAGCCGCTTGAAAGGCCAACGATGATGAAATTGCAAGCCAGTGGTGGTGAAATGACTGAAATATCAGTGGTTTTTTGTGTTTGAAGCAGAGAGATGTTGAATGAAGGTGGTTGGACATTCCTATTGTGGACCTTATTCCCCTTAAACATATTGTAGAAACTCCTAGCATGGCAGTTATTGTTTATGAGCTTGGCTGAGGTCATGCCAATTGAAGCTTCCCAGCATGGAAGTTGCCCTCTATGATCATGAGTGCCCACTGTGATCATGAGTGCCCATCTGAACTGTGGGGCTGCGGTTGCACATATGGCAACTGTGAGCTTAGCAATCAAAAAGCAGACACTGAAATAGGAGCATTGAGGAACTGACTGTGTCCAGGATCATCTGCTGCACACACGCCCCAACCTGCAAACAAGTAGTAAAGTCATCACTCGAAGAAGGCAGCAGAAGACATGACTCAAGACTCACACACAACCTGCAATGCAATAGAATTGTGAAAGGACGTGCGCCAAGAAAATTTGTTCTGCTTAGTTCATTCAGAGACACTGTTTGTTTTTGAGCTGCCTACAATGGTGCTTAAAGATATTCCAGCCTGTGAAAACATGCCTATAGCCATCAAGCAAGAACAGCCACATGGTGGTGCAATACATGTCAGCTTCAAATTAAACCAAATAGCTCAGGGTCCAACGTCCTCTACACTGCACCGCATGCAGCATGCATCCAGCCTCAAGCCATTGGACAGTCACAAAGTACAGGATCCACTGCAAGCACATGACAAAAATATATGCACAGTGAACAACAGGGATAAACAAAAGTCATCACAAGATTGACTGCCAGACTGAGGAAAAGCAGGATCATTTGCTGAGTGTGCACCCCAACCTCCAAACAAGTAGAAGTCATCACTCAAAGATGGCAACAGAAGACATGACTCAAGACTCACACACAGCCTGCAATGCAACAGAAGTGTGAAAGGAAAGGATGTGCACCAACACAGTTTGTTTTGCTTAGTTCAGACATCCCATAGTCTCACACCAGAACCCAACACTGCAGAATAGCAAGGTTGGGCATAACTCCTGGATTTCCAAGAGTTAGTCCAGCTTCTGGAATTCCAGAAGCTGGTGGGCAACAGAAAATTAGAGTTAGTCCAGCTTCTGGAATTCCAAAAGCTGGTGGGCCCAAAGACAATTAAAGAAAACGCATTGATTCTCACACACTGACACTGTCACAACTCTGACAGTTATGCATTACTCCTGGAACTCACCAGATAGATGGGCAAACTTTGACTTGGGGCCACCAAGTCATACCTTCATGCAAGTTCACCCCAGGACGAACTCAGTAGCACAGCAGTGTGCATTTGTCCTTAAACCTAGTGGAAGGCAAACTTTGATTTGGCCTTCAAACCATACCTTCATGCCAATTCATGCCAGGATTCAGTGTAGAAAAACAATGTGCAATTGGTTCATCACAACAAATGGAAGGCCAACAACTTGCTGCCAAAGGCATTATCTCAGTCCCAGGTCATGCCTGGCTGGTGGAAAACAATACAACATTGGTCAATCATCCTCACCTGCCACAAAGTTAACCCTGGGTTTCACACGCGAACCCTGGAAAGGTGTAGAATGATGTGTAAAGGTGAACACAGAAACGACCCCCCCCAAAGCCAAACTGTTCCAAATGCTTGGTCGGAGCCATTCTTAGCCCTGTTATTTCCCATCATTTCCCGAAAAGGTCAAAAAGCAGAAGTGACAGATCACGATAGATCGTGCATAATTTGTTTTCAATATACTTTATATGTCCTTATAGCATAGAAAAAAGGGAAGAAAAGTGTATTGCGGTACCCAGGTTCTAATTGAAACACCATCAACCCATATCTTTGTGCCAGGCTAGGGTGGATAATAACCAAATCCTAGTGTTCAGTGTGCCAAAGCTGGAAACTAGACTCTAGTGACTCTAGTGTGCACTTTGCAGCGCATTCCTCTTTTTCAAGAGGCTCTATGTTTATTAAGTTAGGCTACTCTAAATCTTAATGATGATGACCTGCATCTAGCACCTTTCGGCGCATTCCTCTTTTGCAAGAGGTCCTAATTAAACAGAAAAAATCCACATCACACCCCCCCCTGCCCCATCCCACCCCCCCTGCCCCATAAGCTCCATGACACTGGTGCTGCTGAAGTCGCTGGGGGAAGCTCTGAAGGTGAAAGGGCAATTGGGCATTTGGCAATTGGGGTTTGTAAGCCTTTTCCCCATCACCCCAATACAAATATGTGTTCAGTGTAGTGTAGTGGGTTCAGGGTGTGCCCCTCAAACTAAAAACTAGTGACTAGTTGAACCTTTCACCATCCACTCCCTCACTCGATCACCCCAATACAAACATCTGGGATCAGTGTGGTGGGTTCAGGGTGTGACCCTCAAACTAGTGACTAGTTAACCCTTGCACCATCCAATCCCTCACCCCATCACCCCAATACAAACAGCTGGGATCAGTGTAGTGGGTTCAGGGCATGCCCCTCAAACATGAAGATAAAACTAGGGACCACTTAACCTTTCCCCTTCCAATCCCTCACCACATCACCCCAATACAGTCATATGGGATCAGTGTGGTGTTGCATGTTCATGGGTTGATGCCCAAAGATAAGAAATGCAACCACATTGTGATCTTCTAGGTGGCATGCCTGAACTCATCCCACCACCCATCCACCCATCCCATCAACGCATCACCCATTCCAAGTTCCATGATGCTGATGCTGTAGAAGTCTCTGGAGAAAGCTCTGAAAGGGCAGCTGCAGGGAACAAAACCTTTTACACAAACCCACTCAACCTGTTCCCCATCCAATCCCTCAACTCCTTCACACCAATACACATATATGTGATCAGTGTAGTGTACTGGGTTCAGGAGGTGTCCCTCAAACATAAAGACAACTAGTGACTATCTAACCTTTTCACTTTCCAGTCCCCCACCCCTCACCCCAATACAAAATATGGGATAAGTGTAGTGTAGTGGGTTCAACAACTAGTGACTGTTTAACCTTTTCACCATCCAATCCCTCACACCACCACCCCAAGACAAAGATATGGGGTAGTGTACTGGGTTCAGTGTTTCCAAACATAAAGATACAATTAGTTACTAGTTAACCCTTTCACCATCCAATCCCTCACTCCATCACCCCAATACAAACAGGAATGAAAACTCCAAATAGAAATGAAAACATCAACTAACAGTGAGGTGGCTTAACCGTGGAACCCTGTTTTTTTTTCAAGATGTTTTTTGGGGGACTGGTTAGAGGTGGGACTGACGCAACCGGAGGAGTTGGAGTTAGAGATAGTTAGAGCAACAGGTGTCCTCCATCATGTTATATATAGCCCTAAAAATCCGGGCTCCTTCACCAACACAATTCGGGTTCGGGAACCGGGCCTGAACCACTGCATTTCGGTGTTCGGGTCCGCCATGGAGGGCCCGTTTGGTTTCTTCGGCAGTAATCCTTTGGGTCTTTGGCTTCATTGGACCGCCCCCGGCCTCGCCAGCCTCGCCTCAGCTACCATCGAGCTCGCTCGCCATACCGTACGTCGAGGGTCCGAGACGCGACGGTCGGCCCCCGCAGCGACGTTCCGAAGCGCCGCCGCAAGGAGTACAACGACACGGAGATCCATCGACTGGTTGAGGTAGCCATGGCCAATACCTCCTTGGAGGACGTGCCGCGCATGCAGCCGCGGCTCCTACGGGGCTTGACGGCCGACACGACCAACGACTGGGCATCTTGGCGGAACATCTTTCAGCAGACCATGAGTTTTGGGACATTGAACATGGATGTATATAGGTGTAAGCTGGGTTTGGAAGAGCATGTTGCTCAGCTTGATTTGATTTGCCTTCATAATTTACAACAAAATGTCATGCAAACACTTTTTGTTGGGCAGAAGTTTCTAGTTTTGCATATTATGGGTAAAGGTGCCTTTATCCTTGCTGAGGCGTTCTTGCCCCCTACAGTTTAGGCATCAGTGCTCAAACAGATGAGGATCCACCCACCACTGGTTCCAGGAACTTTCATTTTGATGAGGTACATTTGTTTTGTTTATCATGAGTTCACTTGATGTCTCTCGTTTGCATGCTTTGCTTTTTTAACAAGTGTTTCAATCTATTCTGCATGAGTGTTCTTCCCGTCACTTAGGCGTTCTGGACCCGTCCCCCGTCACTACAATCAGTAGTTGGGTGGACCAAGCAATAGTGGCCTTTCTTTGGGGGAGTGAGTGGCACGGAGTTTCTAGCATCAGGTGGTAAGCGTTGGTTTTCTCAAAAGCTTTCTCATTCACAGCCTCCTGCATGCAAGAATGCTTGTGATTGTGGCTCCGCCCTTTTGACCCTCGAGGCTGCGGCTTAGGCGTTCTTTCGACAAATTGGAAGATGTTTTTGCCTAAATGAAGTTGGGCGGACATTATTGCCTAATGAGGTTTTAGGTATTGGTATTATTTGGAACGCTCATGTCAGACCCGTTTTTGCGAATTCGCTCTCTCGAGACTATCCAGGGTTTGGCGGATCAAGTGATTCAAGTGATGTTCCTGATGGTTGAATCACTTGAATCACTTGATCAGTGATCAACCATCAGGAATTTGGTGAGCTATCCTGCTCTGATCAGTGATTAACTAGGAACTTGCAAGGCTCCCCAAGGTTTTTGGGGGACATCTGTTTGAAGTGTTCTTCCAGGCTTCCGAAGGGCCCGTGACTCCCGTGACGACTCCACGTGGACCCCATGGGTCCCAGTGTGCAGCCATGTGCAGCCGCACATCCGACCTGCCCAGGTCACGATGGGATTTCCCGACTTGCCACAGCCACTTGCCCACGCATCGCGCACGGCTGGGTCCGTGATGCAACAGTCGAGGGGGTCTCGTCTCTTTTGGAATCACCACAACAATGGCAAGGATGTAAAGAAACAATTACGTAGTACATTTACATCTGAAGATCTTTCAACACATGATGACTCACTCAGCAGTTCCGGACCTGGGGCCGGTTTCACTGGGGACATGATGGGACATGTTAGGATTTCATGGTGGGATATGAATGAATAAACCCGTCTATGAGTTAGAGCTTAGGAGCTCGGCGATGTTCGGAGCCTCAGACTGACCCGTCTACTCGGTCGAGGTGAGCCTTTCTGGACAGTACCACGTCCCGGACTGGACGTCTTCCGTGCTCACCCTGTAGTTGGCAGAGACCCGAGTTTCCAGACAAAAGACTGACGAGAACTTCATGAGAACCCCATAGAATCCCTGATTGTTTGGTCGGGTATACCAGAGATGACCAGATTTTCAGATGATCATTGTGGACTTTTGATGCATAAAATCTTCTATCTATCTATCTATCTATCTAAACGTAAAACACTCAGATGAAGATCACGAGTCTACATGACTCCGAACTCGGCGATTTCAGGGTCTTCGCCGAAATTCGGCGGCCGAGCGTGCCTGTTGTGCCTACAAGCGGTGAACAGTGCCGAACAAGCCGGATGGGGCTCTCCGCCAACACCGCCTCACGATGTGGTTCTGTTCTTCCCCGCCTTTTGATGACCCAATTGTCCCAAACCTCGCGCAAGGAAGAAGGGTCGTTACTTCTTCGAGGTGGAGCTGCACAACGGCTGCGAGAGCCCCCAGCAGCCTGGAGCAGATCCATCAACCGCCCAAGCGTGGGTGCAGGGTGGTTGAGTGGTTGGGTGGCATGAGATGGTGCCAGTATCGCGGACCATGCTTGGCGAACATGCAATGTAGACTCCAGAAGTCATAGAAGACGTTTTTTTTCTTCATAAAACCTCCCATATATGAAGAACACATCACAATCCATTTGGAGAGTTATTGATACCTATCAATCAACAGTTTATATTGACTAGTACAATTTCAGATGTGCAAGTAACTTTGAGAAGCCAGGGTGAGATGAAAATATGTTCATTAAGTCCCTGCTGCGAGGGAGATTGACCAGGGTTGACGGAGCAGCTCGCTCGTGGTTGCTTAAGACGGAGAGAAACTTGTCCCAGGTACGCAACTGTCTCGAAGGCTTCACCAAAACCCTCTTGCAAGGGTGTCCACCACCATTCATGGATCATGGTGACCTTATGGCTGACTGCGACATATTCATTCCTTTGGCATCCTCCGGATGAATCCTCCAGACCTCGAGGGTCACTCCATTGTTTACCGCCGATTGGTGAGACGTGCTCAGGATCGGCATGCTCAGCAACCAATTTGCCTTGGCCCCGAGGAGCGCAGACCGAGTGGAATTCGTTCCACGGTTTGTGGATGGCCAAGTGCGTGGGAAGTGGGAGAACGACCACCTCCTACCCTTAGGGCTCCAACCACCTGAGAAGATGCTTGGGGCGGGGCCGGTGCCAGGGGGGTCTAACAACCTTCTGAGGATATGGGCCAGGAGCCCTAGGGCTGTACAAGCACGGTGCTGTTCCACTTCCATGTTAGTAATTATTCCTTCCTTCCTTGGATGGCTGAACCCACGGTCGACCGTCCATAGCCTACCCCTACGTCGCTTTGGTGGACTCCAGACGCATGGAGTCCTCCAGGCTGGTCACCCGGGACGCATGCACAGTTCGTCAGATCTTCCGTTGGACCGCTGGGACCGGAATTCTGCCGTCCAGGCGACGAGTAGTTCGTCCAGATCGACCGGAGTTCGATCGGGCTCCGAGTCTCGACCTGGGGTTTGCTTGCCGTAGTAGCGCTGGGCTCCCTATCGCGGCTACTCAAGAGCCTTTAGATCAGTGATGTTATGTGTGTAAGTGTATATGTATATAATATATATATAATATTGAAGTATATGTTGAGAATTATCGAGGCTCATATTAAATATGAGTCAATGAGTTTGTATTTGATTCGGGTTTGATGTCAGGGAGACACTGCCAGGACCCGGGGTCAACATCTCCTGGGCGTGGGCGATGACAAGTATGGATGGGCGGCCGATGGTCAGCACTCCATCCTGTGGCATGCAGGCTGGTGGACAGAACAAACAGCTTTCATGGCTGCATACTGACATCATTCTTGAGATATTCTGACAGCTACTGGTAGGACCAATGTCATGAATTTGCTGCAGTGGTTTGAATGTAGATTGGACTTGTTCAGTTACTTGCCCACCTCTACAGCAGTTTCATCAGCAGCACTGCCCACCTCCCAAGAAAAAGGCATTCTAGCCTTTGCTGCGTCAACTGCGTCAACCGCACCAGGTCAAAAGTATGCGTGGAACCGCACCTGGAAATCCTCAGGGCGCCAACTGAAAGAGATGGTCGTGGTGGGCATAGCTGTGGACATCGAGGCTCGCTTCTCACGCGCGCCCGTGAGAAAACCGTTCGGCCGCCGAATGATCTCCTTGGGCCACCTTGGGCTCTCCATGGCAGGGGTCCGGACCCTCAAAACCCTGTGTGTTTGAGGGCCCGGATTCTTAGGGCAGGTGATCACACAAGAATCATCGGCCGGATTCGGAATCGATGAGAATCGATCTTCAAGCCGAGGCTACGAGGTCCTCACTTTTGGATGCCGGCTTTAGCCATCATACTTCAATGGCACCCTCGTGGAGCACGCATTGGTTGTGCAATGGAAAAACCTCCAGAAGTTTGCTAGAGCCTGTTCTTGAGATTTGGAATCTCAGCCGAACCCTAACATAAGACTTCCCAACCGAACTGGGGCTGGACATTTCATCTCAACCAGGGGTCATGCTTCTACAGATGCTTTGAGTTTGTTGAGCTAACTTGGATGGATTTGATCTTCGATCCAAAGCTCAGAATCTTCTTGCATGGCTCGTTTTCTTGAGCATGGATCTTCAGAGTGTTGCTCATGACGGCCCCACAAGTTTGTAGACAGGTTTGAGCCAATGTTTAATGTTTAACAGATATACCTGGAACTTCGTTACGGCAATAATAATTGCCGTTTTCATGAAACGTCGCCTTTTTCCGTTCTGCAGCGTTCTTCCATACTGATCTCATGGGGATGGCGTTTCTTGATGAGCTGCGGCAGTTTCGGTCAGTTGACGGCAATTTTGGTCCACACATCCATGCGCCTCAAAGAGTCATTTCGTTTTAGTTTTAGTGCAGGCGAGTATGAAAACATTGTAGGGTCTTGCTTGAAAGGCAACTGAACGTAAAAGGCATCTTATTATATCAGCAAACTCGCAGCGCATAGTCATGTGAAGTGGAAAGGGCAGCTGCTGGAAGTGTCACATGCTGGGTTTTCGTCGGTTTTCGCGGGTAACTCGACCTCTTGCGCGGCGTTGCAGAAGATTTTGCGTTTAAAGTTACGGCGTTCTTACCCGTACTTGCGGCGGCTTTCCCCGTACTTACGGCGTTTTTCCCCGTACTTACGGCGTTTCCCCCCTACTTACGGCATCGTTCCCTTACCCTGTCTAGGGTCACTCAAGGTGGCAGCAAGACTTGTCACAACATGTCACAAGCCATTGCATGATGAACATGTGAATAAATCCTGCCGTGATGTCAATCGAGACCTTAGACAAGGGCTGCAACATCTTGAGAAGTGCTACCATGAGGCTTGAAAACGATGAGCTCTACTTACAAGTGAAAAAGGAGAAGGCAATTTCAGGGTATGGACGGACCAAAACAATATCCTCTTTGGTAGATCAAACAAAGCGGCGATTCTTTCTTTTGTGACGGCGTTTTCACTTCTCTGACGGCGTTTTCACTTTCCAGGGATTGAGCTACGGCAGGAAAAAATGAGTTACGGCACAAATTATTGCCTCAACAGCCTACGGCAAAAATTATTGCCTCGGGAGGGTCTAGGTATTTCAATTGTTCAAACATCTACCAGGACAGAGGATCTGGCCACAAACAGATCTGAGAGACTACCAACTAGATGACGGTTGGCCCGAGAGCGAGACATGCAATTGTCCAGCACTGTCGAAAAGATGGATAGAAAGAGAGAAAGAGAGGGTGGATGTGAAGGAGTGACAGTGTGGATGTGCAGGTGCGATATAGATCTGTAGATGTATGGAGGTGGAGAGGTAGATCTGTCGATGTGAGCGTGCGAAGATGTAAATGCACAGAGACGAGAGAAAAGATATGTAGAAAGAAAGAAAGACAGGACAGATGTGAAGGAGCGACAGTGTGGATGTACAGATGTGATATATAGATGCGCAGATGTGTGGGTGTGGTGAGGTGGAGAGGTAGATCTGCGGATGTGAGCGTGTGAAGATGTAAATGTAGAGAGGTGAGGGGGTGTAGACGTAGATGCGTCGATGCAACGGCAGCGCAACGTCAACCTTAGTTGCGCAAGTACAACGCTGAAGAGGTTCAAATAGAACTGAAGAACGTACATTTCACACTGAAGTTTCCACGAACAGGGCGACCTGAGAGTAAACGACGTCACGATCATGACAAGCGACTCGTGTATTCCAAGCGAACATCATTTGTCATGAAGGTGAAGTACACACATACTAACGTCACGATGACTCTTTTGTGGCAGCCACTTATGAGTAAGCAAAGTAGCCAAAATTTGTCAACCTCTCAAGAGAGCCAGGTGGTCGGGAGACATGACTCAGCTGCAGGGCGCCAGAGCAGCCGCGAGAGATAACTCAGCCGCGAGAGATGACTCATCCGCGTACTAAAGTTGTACTACAAAGACGCCAGTTCTCAGCTTCCAGCTCCACAGCTTGCTCCACGTACTAAAGTTGTACTACAAGGTCGCCCCTCATCTTCCAGCTTCCCAGATACTCCGCGTACTACAGTTGTACTACAAAGTCGCCAGTTCTCATCTTCCAGCTCCCCAGATACTCCGCGTACTAAAGTTGTACAACAAAGTCGCCAGTTCTCAGCTTCCAGCTCCACAGATTGCTCCGCGTACTAAAGTTGTACTACAAAGTCGCCAGTTCTCATCGTCTTCCAGCTCCCCAGATACTCCGCGTACCAAAGTTGTACTATATACAACTTCGCCAGTTCTCATCTTCCAGCTCCCCAGATACTCCGCGTACTAAAGTTGTACTAGAAAGTCGCCAGTTCTCAGCTTCCAGCTCCACAGATTGCTCCGCGTACTAAAGTTGTACTAGAAAGTCGCCAGTTCTCATCTGCCGGCTCCCCAGATACTCCGCGCACTCAAGTTGTACTACAAAGTCGCCAGTTCTCAGCTTCCAGCTCCACAGATTGCTCCGCGTACTAAAGTTGTACTAGAAAGTTGCCAGTTCTCATCTTCCAGCTCCCCAGATATACTCCGCATACTCAAGTTGTACTACAAAGTCGCCGGTTCTCAGCTTCCAGCTCCACAGATTGCTCCGCGTACTAAAGTTGTACTACAAAGTCGCCAGTTCTCATCTTCCAGCTCCCCAGATACTCCGCGCACTAAACATTTACTAGAAAGTCGCCAGTTCTCATCTTCCAGCTCCCCAGATACTCCGCGTACTCAAGTTGTACTACAAAGTCGCCAGTTCTCAGCTTCCAGCTCCGCATACTAAAGTTGTACTACAAAGTCGACACGCGCGATCTCCGCAGAGGGTTTCGCCGGACCGGGCCAAAACGCACTCTCGCCTGCATTTCGCGCCCTCGACACGCACGATCTCCGCAGAGGGTTGTGCTGGATCGGGCCAAAACGCACTCTCGCCTGCATTTCGCGCCCTCGACGCGCACGATCTCCGCAGAGGGTTGCGCCGGACAAATCCAAGTGGCACTCTCGCCTGCATTTTGCGCACTCGACACGCACGATCCCCGCAGATCGGTTGCCCGCGACCGGGACAAATCGCACTCTCGCCTGCATTTCGCGCGCTCGACACGCACGATCTCCGCAGAGGGTTGCAACGGACAGGAGACAAATCGCACTCTCGCCTGCATTTCGTGCGCTCGACACGCACCGCTCGACACGCGCGATCTCCGCAGAGGGTTGCTTTTCGTGGTGCTCCGGCGGCACTGCCCCCAGCCTTAAGAGAGAAAGTTAAGAAGAGCGAGAGGTGAAGATGTGAGCTGTAGATGTGAGGGTTTGAAGATGAGCAGAGATGTAGATGCGAGGATGTGAAGATGAGCAGAGATGTAGATGTGAGGATGTGAAGATGAGCAGAGATGTAGATGTGCAGATGTGAACATGAGCAGAGATGTAGATGTGTGAAGATGAAGATGAGCAGAGATGTAGATGTGCAGTTGTGAATGTAGATGTGAAGATGAGCAGAGATATAGGTGAGAATGTGGATGTGCTGAGGTGAAGATGTGAAGATGTAGATGAGACGTAGTTCTGCAGATGTTTTTTTACGAAGAACCCTTCGCAGACGCTCTCGGGAAAAAGGGCACGGACGGTCCCGGTCCCGTCTCTTTGTTTTTTTTGACCATCCCAGACACTCCATGTATGCCATATATGCCGCCCCATTGACCCCTCAAACCGCCCCAATGTAGGCATATATGGCATACATGGAGTGTTTGGGCATGTCTCTCCTTGGCACTGGCCGCCAGGCCTGCAAAATTTGGTTCGCCACGAACGGAGCTCCTTGGCGGTACGCTCGGGACGTGACGCCACCCCACGTGAACGCGCGGCAGGAAAAGCGGTTGGTGGGATGGTTCGACATCCGCAAAGACCTCACTTAAGTGAGTCTTTTGCATCGCTCCGTTTCTTTTAAGTAATATTTCTGTCTACTCTGATGGCAACAGACCTGCAATGTGTTGTCTGGTGCAGAACGCCAATCTAAACAAGCATGCAACCTGTTGTTAGGCCCTGTTAGGCATGCCTACGACCAGCTGCATGCCTAGGTGGCTCGAGGTTTTGACATGTCACGGTAGGCTGGGGCGGGTTGGTGACCTCCCTCCCGCTCTGGACATGCCCGACCTGGTCGGTCTCTCTGTTAGAAGCGCCCCTAGGCCCTCGTCGTACATTGGATGAAGACTGCTCCAAGACGAGGGCCCTCCCAAGGACCTCCCTGAAAGGGTCGGAAAGAGACAAGAAAGGATCAAACATTCATCCAAACCCATTGGGTTTCTTTATTCAGTTGCACACCCCAACATAAACATGACATGAAGTCTACTCTGACAGCTCATGCCATCAACCAAAAACCCCTTGCTGATACAAAAGCAACCGCCCAGGTCTGGGACGAAGAGGCAGAGCCCAGTTTCGGACCCTCCATGATCCCTCGCGGCACCGCGCTGCCACTCGGTCAGTGACCACGCGGGCCGAGCACCGGTCAAATCAGAAAGCCTTGTGATTTTCCCGAACTGGTTCAATCCCCTTACCTAGGGAATACGTTCTACTCTCCCTGGAACTAACGTGGAAGTGGAAAACCACCTGTTTGTAGTGGAAAATGGTCTTCCAAGGGGCCATTCTTCACTTCCATGTTAGTTCCAGGGAATGTATTTTTGTCAGGCTCCTGGACAGCAAGTCCAAGAATTTCATGGGACAGACCTGGTGTTGCAATATAGTGTAGAATCCTCAGAAACAGGGGTGTTTGGTAAAGGATCAATGGTGGTTGGAAACCTGGGAAACTGAACAATTTAGACATAGTTTTGCAACATTTTGAAATTGCTCTGACATGTCAACTGACAAATATGCTGATGCAGCCCCAAAGGACTAAGGACCATAAAAATACCGCTGCCTTCCGGGTTTCAGCTGAACAATGGGGGTCCAGTTCTCAAATCGCTTCAGCCGAGCCGGAGATGTATGCCTTTTTACACGCAAATGTTCAGACGTGACTTTCTTCATGCCAGATTTGGCCACTATGCACCGGTGTTTGTGACATACCATGGCAGTGTCGGAGGGTTGCCTTTCAATTGACTTATTGCGTGTTTTCTTTTGGAAACTTGGTGTCGGCATGGCAGGCATTTCAATACCCAGACACTCCATAGACTGGCATAACTTAGAACAAATCGGTGAAACATAAACAAGAACATGGAGCTGCTAAACCTGACACTTAGAACATGCAAAAAAAAAACTGGCACTTAGAACATGATAAACCCATCACTTAGAACAAACAGAGCTCATTTTTACTAAATTTATTAAAATGTGTTGTAAGTGCTTGTCCCTCACTATTAAAGGTTGGGGAAACATTTGACTCTGAAATGCTGTAGGGTCGCTACTAAGAGCAAGGCTAGGGGCTCCTGGCCCTACTACTAGGAACAAGGTTCGCTACGAGCAAGGACGCTACTAGGGGCTCCTGGCCTTACTACTAGGAACAAGAAGCCACTAAGAACAAAGGCCATCGCTACTAGGAGCAAGGACCTACATATGCACATATGAGCGTGTACATGTTCTAAGTGCAGGGATTTCAATTGTTCTAAAAGCAAGGCTTAGAACAGGGATTTTTTGGTTCTATGTGTGGGGTCCTGGGCATGTTCTACGCGACTCTTCTTTTTTGGTGACAAAACTATGTTCTAAGTGGTTGTCCGTCATTATAATACATTGACCCCTGAAGTCAACCACCTCAACTGGCACCTAAAACCCGGAGTTAGACTTCCAAGAAGCTCAGTTTTGCCGCTGGCAGAAGCTCTTCCGCTCCGCTCGGCCGCCCAGTGTTCCGCCACCGGCCCGACCGGTCTCCAAGGTACCCAGCCATCTCCTTCAAGGGTCGCGCGGCCTTCAACTTCGGCCCGGAGTTCAAACACAAGGAGCCCTGTTGCGGCGAACGTGAGCTGGGCGGATGAAAGGTGAGTTTTGGGTGGCTGTTTTCTCCCGAACTGGTGGAAATTCCCAGTACCTATATAAAGTATATTTGCTAGTTTGCCAGGTTCCTTAAGCAAATTTGCCAGGTTCCTGGACAGCAAATCCAAGCTTTGCTTGTTGCGCTGCATTTGGAGAGAGAGAGAGAGACTTTCCGAACCAAGTCAAGTGCAGTGCCAATTGCCCGATAAACTGCTTTGCCTCCAAAAAGTACATGTTACATGTTTAAGCATTTGTTTAGAAGACTGCTCACGCAGGCAAACTGATTATCTTTGAAGCATGCTGACTTTTGTGGCCATCGGTGCAGTGGCGCAGGCGCCAGAATTCAAAGGCAAGTCCTTCTTGGCCTGGCCTGGGATGCCAGATGGCCGGCTTAGAGCAGATTGCCCCATCATCGGGAACTCGAACCATGCCACTCGGAGAAGATGTGAACGCCTGGTCGGCGAGGGCGAGGGTGGGCTCCTGGTGGCGACTGCCCACCCACCAGCAACTATAAAACTGGTGTTGGTCTTGTTTGGGGGCCGATTTGTGATTGTGATTGTAGGTTGGCGTGGGGCCAACCTGAGCCCTCTACATCCATTGGTGCTTGCACATCAACCAGGGAAGGGTCATTTCGTTCCCTTTACTCCAGCATACCGACGCTCGGAGTCTGGCGACTCGGGGGTCGTCCCCGTTCGGAGGCGGTGCTGTCATACATATCCCCAGTTTCGCATCACGGTCCGCATGGCCCGCACGTTATTGGTGAATGGGTCTACTGACCGCGGGCGAGGGATGAGGGATACTGGACTGCCGAGGTCAGTATCTACAAAGAGATTCTTGGCTGTGTGGAACGCTGGTGATGGAGCGAGATACTTGCAGACCATCTAACAGGACAATTGGTCAGTTACAGTATAGGGTCATACATGGGGTAAGTGTGGGCCTGGAAGTTGGAGAAGCACTATCATAGATTCGTGATGTTTAAAGTTTAAATCAAAAGCAAACTTCAAATTTAAGACTACAGAAGACCACTAATTAGCCACGACGGAATGCCTCAACATTGATGAATCATGGCATCGTGGTCATGTTTTCCATGCAATCATGTTGAATTGGATCATGTTCCAAAGCTCGTGGGAGTTACCTACTTTTGCATCTGGGTGTCCTAGATGTCAGGTGTTCAATCTCTCTAGGGCTCCCAACTTTCTGAGAAGGTCGTTCGGACCGGCCCCCCAACCACCCGTCTTCCTGCAGCCCCAAACGAAGCCGCGCGCACTCCCCGGACCTGTCTCCCCCGCGGCGAAGCGGAGCGGAGCGAAGCGTCAACTCTTCACTCACTCGGTGGACCGAGGATTCAGATCCATGGAGAGGTGAGTTTGAAGCGCAACGTGCAAAGGCGACCGGTTTTTCGGACGAACGCGAGGATGGCGCAAGAGCGCTGTTCACAGCAAGGAGGGCTGCTGTTCAGTCGAATTCTGCATGCAAAACGAAGCAGGTGCTGCAGAATTCGGCGGCATTTTTGGGACGGTCAAGTACTAAACCTCGAAGACGAGGACCTCTACTGCCGGAACAGGGACACTTCACCGTGAACCCTTCATCTCAGTGTTACGGAAGGGGGGCTTCGTTGGGCCGTCCAAGTCCAGGGTGTTCGGCTGTGAGTCATGGCACCACCCCTCCCGTTGTCGGGGTCCTCCGATGCCATGACCCAAAGCCCATGCGACCCGGGGCCCGAAGCCGAACTGGTCAGGGGTCTGGGGTGGGCCTCACCCATCCCTATGGTTTGCTTCGGGACCAGGAGTTGGGCTGTGAACGAGGGTTTGGGTAGATCCTGATGATCATGCGTGACGCATCGCCTGGAAGGCGTGCTCTGGCAGCACCAGTGCTGATGCCACGGCCGTTCATCAAGAGTTGGTTTTTCTTCAGCCGTCAGCCTGCACCATGATTTGGTGTAAGCATGTCTACCCAACATCAGGCGGTTTCCTCGTATCTCCTGCAAGAATTCTGATACCAGCATGCGCCACTTACTAGTGAATCTACTGCAAATTTGTGAGGCAGAAGTTCCGTCCAAGGCGGTGGGTGCTTAAGGCATCTTGAGGTGTAAAGCACCCCATCCAGTGACAGTTCCGCCAGCGCAGCAGATTGGAAGGTTCCTCCGTCCAATCTGCGACCTTTGCTGACGACCTGTTTGGCACTGGCATATTGACCGGCCAACTGGGGTGGTTGAAAAGGAGCAAGTGTAAATATTCCATACCAGGACCCGACTTTATGGGGTGTAGTCCGTGGGGTATCTATGTCAATAGCCTCGTATTACGAGGTGAACGTGATTCGGGGTGTCCCAAAACACATATCTGTTGGAAGCTCCTGGTGTATATGTAGCCTCGTAAAGAGGTGATTTACAAGTGATTCGGGGTGTCCAAGAGCCACTGGGCGAACGGAAGCTCTTGGTACATGGGAGTGTTTAGGCTTTTCCACATGGCATCAGTCGCTTCTCCGCAGGTTGGTGGCCAATCGGAAGCACCTGGAGGCGGCCTCAACTGGGCGAGCCGGTGGGTGGCCTCCCTATAGTTAGGGCTTTCGTAATTCGTGGCTTTCGTCTGACTTTGGGACCACTGGTTGGTAACTGCGATCTATTGGGTGCAAGGCACATCTTCACTAAGAATGCCATGTGATTCTTCAGAGATTGAAGCACATAGCAAGTTACAGCAGAAGTCTTGCCGTTTCACTGATGATCCCAAGGAGCTGAAGGTCTCATTTCCTTCATTGCCACCCTCACTCCTGAGGATCCAACTTTCCTTTGTAGATCCTACTCCTTATAGTGGGTTGAGAGTAGATGGCACAATCCCCAAGTTCGGTGGTTCATATGGACCCCTATATAAAAGACATCTTGGGGTTTGTGCCATCTACTCTCAATCCACTGTAGATCCTGAGATCAGATCCTACTCCGCTAACGTAGATCCTACTCGATCCTCTTGATAGATCTACCTCCCAGGTGTCCTGATCCTGATCCTTCCTGGATGGGGCCCCTTCCATTGGAACTCCGACGCCTAACGTTAGGTGTCCAAGAGCGATCGGAGCTGGGCCGTCTGCGTAGATGGACTGGGCTCGGCAGATGGCCGCCCGGAGGGTTTTCAGCAGCGTGACGGGGCGGGCGTGGGTCTGTTCGGGGGCATTGGCGGCGAAACTCGGGGCAGGTGACGTAGGGGTTGGGAGTCCAAGCGGTATGGTTCCAGTTCTACAGATGGTCTATATACGTACTTGGCAGGCTTCCTCGAGTTCAGGAAGTTCCTGATCGAACTGGACGGGTGGTCCCAAAAATGATCGAACTGGACGGGTGAGAGAAATGCGCTTTTGTAAGAATTGAGGAGGTCGAGAAGTGTTTGTGTGACTGTGTGGGGGTGTGACGGTGTGACTGGGTGGGTGGGTGGGTATAGAGCAGCTGAGGCTTCTCCAAGTAAGTAGTAAGTAGAGGGTGTTGTTTGATCTGGAGTGAACAAGTCCAAGTTGTTCAGACTTCTTGGTGGTCAAAATGATGATGTTTTTCTTTTGGGGAAGATCACGGGTGGCCCATGGCGCCAGGTTTAGATTCTAGCTAGCATATTCACATATTCACATGACCCAGACACGACATCCATGGGACTGCCATAGGACTGCTGCCCCATGGACCCCCCTGGCACCACCCCTGGCCTGATCGGCAGTCCTATGGCAGTCCCAGACAGGTCGTGTCTGGGTACTGGTATGCAGTTTGACGTACACTGGGTAGTCAGTCTAAGCATAGAACCTGAAAACCACCGGCAGATGATGGGTTTCCAGTCGTCTATTTCTACATATTTCTACATGTTTGCATGCTTCAAACTGATCAGCTGCAATAGTTCTCATTGTAACCTGTTGATTCCCACAAAGGGTGTTCACCTGGGTTTTCCGAGCCAAACCTCCAAACCTCCTGGTTTCCATGTTGGGGAACTCGGACGTGACAACCCACACCGGCCGGGTGTTCCCAGGTAGCTACGACCGAGTCGGTGCCAAGAATGGGAAGGCGATGTACAAGCAGCATGCCACTGGGCGGTGGTCCACGGGAACTGCGTGTGCGTTTGTGGGTGAAAAGAGATGCCAAAGGGCATCCTCTTGTGAGCATAAATAAGGTGTGTTCCGTATATATACCTCTAAGGGAACATGATGCAAGATGTTGTTTTTTCCTGCCATGAGTTGATGGTACACAAGTATTTTTGTTCACCTTCGATGTTGTTCTCACATGTCACGTCCTGGGCAAGCCTAGAGCTGGGCGAGGGATGATGGTCGTATGTTTTGACAATTTGACAAGGGAACCTCCACCGAGGTCTGACAAATCAACCACCAGCCAAGAGCTGTGAGGAAACCTGTGCTCATCCACATCTCAGCACGATGAAAGGCTATAAGAAAAGTAAGAACCACTTTCTTTGCAGATATGTTTGGCTGCTGGATGCCCACCTCAGCTATTCTTCTGTTGTACATGAACTTATGCCAGGGCCTTGTGCTGAACTCTGCTGAAATCCTCGGCTGCAAGAGATATGAAGTGGTGGAAGCTGTCCCATGCACCATGGAGCTGGTTCTAAGGACGGGGACAGCCATCAGATCTTCTTCGATCGGAACACAGAGAACTGGAAGATCATTCATGAGGAGCAACCGAAACGTGGTGTAGCGCTTGGTTGTTGATCTTGGCCCTAGCCAGAGTGGTAATTTTGAAGGGGATTGAGCACGGGACGGTCTGAGAACTGGAGTAAAGAACGGTTGGAATCTCAAGTATTCCTTTGGAATGTGAAGCCCTTACTGGCTACTAGTATACGTATAGCATGCATCTATGACCATCCTGTAGTCGGATGGATGAAATCTTCAATTGCACGTGGCTACAAGCAAGCTAAAACCATCTAACACCATTCTATGTTGTGATTTGGAGGCAGGGACCCGAAGGTACTGTATCGATCCATTCTTTCCGTTCGAGCAGGAAGCGCAAAAGCTGTAGGGAGTTCCCAAATCACATGCTAGAACAGCGCATGAAAACACCCTTTTGCTTAAACTTGTCCTTCACACACTACCCACCACCTACCACCTGCTACCACCTACCCTTTCAAGCTACCTGACCTCGCACCGCCGCGCCATCCATCCTCCAGGAACGCCCAGACATTTGGCTGGCCGAGGCGCCCCCCGTGGCTGGCAGTTTCGAGCCCCCTCGACATCAGTGGTCGGTGCCCACCACGAAGCGCGGACGCGTGTGGCTCGGCGGTGGAGGTGAGCGGGACGGCTGAGGTGTGGGTTGCGGACGCGTAGAGCGGCGCAACGGCGGAGGTGGGAGGCCGGGGGCACCTCTGAGTCATGTTCTGGGAAAAAGATAGACTGTCACTTGGCTCTTAAACATGCTGGCTTTATATACAGTAATGCAAATGTTCTTTTCTCTTCCAACAAGTGGAAATGACGTGAAATGACCCTTTGATCAGCATTCCTTTGTAGTTTCCCTTCGATCAGCATCCTTGGCACCTGGAGTTGTCACCGAGGCCAGTGGGGCTCTTTAAGCAGGTTTGTGCCAATGCCAATGTCAGCTCAGAAGTGCAGGCACCGAATCGCCAGTAAACAGAAGCTGTACCAGGGAGGAGTGTGGGGTGTTGTCCATGGAGGTGGTTGATAGAAGGTTGCAATAATAACATGTTTCATGTCCCTAGGGCTCCAAGTACATCCTCTGAAGGTATGACTGGACCCTCCAAACCCACCCCAAACACCTTCTTAGAAGGCACTTGGAGCCCTGGGGTGTCTTTTCTTCGGCCTTTGGAGAGATGTGAAGATCCGATGAACGGGCCACCCGGTCACAGCCCAAAGCCTCAGCACGGTCGACCTGGTCGACCTGGTCAGTGAGGCGATGACATGGCGCCGGTCCAGGCTTACAGGAAATGAAAACCACTCAGAAAGAGGGCCAGGCTTCCATAGTTTGTCAAGAAGAGAAATGACATGTGGTTGCAGGGGAGGCTGTCGGACCGCATTAGAGGTCTCCAGCGAAGCTTCTCGCAGTCCGAACGACTTAGGGGACACATCCGAGGAAAACAAAACAAAAACACAAGTGGTCGCCGCAATCCAAGCACCTGTCGTCAATTGATATAGTAATGACTCTATAATCCATTCAATCCGCAGACCCCATCGAGCCGATCAAGCCGCAAGGAGCATATCATCAGTGTCTTGGGCAAGGGAGCCTCTGGCTGCTCTGGCTGCATTTGCGTTCCGTCCTGACGGCCGGAGGGCGTCCATAGCAGGCAATGGCATAGAGACTGCTTCTTAGAACTTTTGCATGGAAGTGCACTGAGTCCTCATGTTAGTTGTCCAGCTTTCTGAACTGAGTTGATTATATAAGTTGTTTTATATAAAACATACAACACATGGTTCTTGGTGGTTTGCAGCTCACGAGTCGGAAGCCCCAAATTGGGAGGTTGGCATTGACCAGACGGAAGCACCTGGTGAAGAAGCTAGCATTTTAAGAACCTGGTTTTGCTTAAGATTCATTGGTATTTTCCCTATGTTCAATCCCCTTCTAGGGAATATATATTTGCACCTCAAAACCGATAACCTCAGCGCTGTATATATGATCATAATTATGCGACGAACTCAAAACACTGTAAAACGATAAGGTCCAACTCAAAAACCGATGACGTCCTTTTTTAGAAGAATAAGGAGTTTTGACCGTCCCTCATTTGTTATTTTTTCAGGTTCCTTGAGCAAATCCAAGACAACAAAAAAGCCGTTTGGGAAGCCTTCAGTGTTCCAAGGCTGCGGGTGGCTGTAAGGAAGGGGCCCAAAGATTCGACTGATTCGACCCACTACCATCCGGTGAGAGTTCTTCCGGTTCAGGACTTCAGGACCGGACTCCACCCAGTCACACCACCAAGCAAAAGGGATACCCGAAACAAGCACGAACAATCATGAAGCATTTGGAATCCCCTTTTCTCAGATGGATGACTTCCAAACGGCCACCCCTCTCTTCGAAGCGTAAAGGAAGTAATCCCATGTGGGCTCCAAAAGACCAACCTAGTGGCCAGAAATCTTGGAATCCAGAGTCCTTTGGTTCCACTCATGGCTGGAGATCCACTGGGCTATCGCCCTAGTCTTCACTTCACCAATCCTTACGTTTGGCCGCCGAATGTCCATCCGCCGAGGCTCAGAGCAGGAGATCTTCCGCATCGATGACCGTGGCCTGTTCCGCACCGCGCGGTGTGTGACGAAAGTCGGGGGAGACGTGGGGTGGACCATGGGGTGGACCGTGGGGGACGTGGACCGTGGAAATTGTCCCAAAAAGCAGCAGACACAAGCTCCAGTGGTTTCAGAGTACCCTCAAGATGTCCTGAAAAAATTGAAAAAAGATCAGATCTTCAAAGCTCCTCCTTGAGGATTTGCCTTGGCACAATCCCTGAACCGGTCATGGAAGTGGCTGGCATGGCCATCTTGGAAATGCCTTGGAGAGGGCCGGTATGGTCTAGTGAGTCTAAGTGGCTATGACGCATCCCCCATGCCATGCGTCGGACCTAGGTTCGGGTGCTCGGCAGTGGTTTCCCCACTCAGACACCAACAGGTGGAAAAGAGATAACGTCTATGTTCCATGGAGTTTGCAGGGAGTCAGTTTTGTAAGTAAAGTGAGTCAAAAGTCAAGATGAAACGATTCTCTTGACATCCTATTCGGGGCTCTTAAATGGACACCTTGGTCAGGACCGTCAGGATGGCATTGTGTCCGTCAAAGATTCCAGGTACAACGAGATCAGTTGTTAGACTCCTTAGCTCTTTGGTGATTCTTCTGGTGCTCCTGTGCCTCCAAGGCCTGTAAGCACTCAATACCACTCCATGGTGTGACTTTCCTGTGGTGAATGAAGATCGGTAAGTCATAGAGTCACGTCATTCCGGGGAGCTCAGCTTAGGCATTGGGCTTGGCCCAGCCATGCAGTCAAGATCTGGCAAGTGTTGTAGATCGTTCAAACACTTCCAGCGGTTTCAAGAAAATAGATAGCACAAACCCTTAACCGCCTTTGGGATTTTGCCATCTACTCTACTCTGAGACCACTATAGGTAGTTCCATAGTGGCTTCACGATTAGGAACACATCAATCAGACCAGATCTTCCTTTGTTCTGATCTTCATGCTGACTGGTGCTTGAGATGAATGAGGGAACGAGCTCATTCCCTACTAAGCGCCAGGCAGCTTATGTTAATTTACAAATTGCATTAAACGTACTCTCTTCATAGCACCTAGATGCTGCCTAGTCACCTAGTCATGTTCCCATTGAGCTGACTTTCATCACCGGTTTTGTCACAACAGAAATAACAGAAGGGACTGATCTAGATAGGGATTGTCACACACACACATATATATATATATATTACTTATGCATTACAGAAGGGCATGCTCTATATGATGTAAAATTATGAGTTGTTCGGCTTCATAAATTTCATAGGCGTGTGTTAAAAAAGACATGTCCCCGTGTCGATGATGTCGACGAGACCACGGAACGTGGCCCAGATACTACCTTCGAAGATGAATGGACCAAGCTGCAGAAGGAGAATAAGGTGCAGATGACGCTGGATGATGATCTTCAGTGATGTCCCAGTGCAGAGTGATTGTTTTGCTCGGGAAAGTTCACTTTTTGCAGATGGAAGATGTTGAAGTCAAAGATACACCTTTTTGGTTTTGCTTGCTTCGGCTTTGGGGATGTGTATGTGTGATGGTTTCCGGCAGCCATGGGGATGAAAGTCCCTAATTTGCAACCCAGCTGAGCTACTAAGGACAGCCGAGGATTTCTGGATCCTATGCGTGCCACAGCTGAAACGTGTCCGTGAGGCGCCGGTTGTAGAGAAGGACGAGAGTGTGCCGGCCCCACTCAGGGGTCCCAAATCAACTTGGTTTTTACGACGGGTTTCCAGGTTCCTCATCCCAGTGCTGCTGGGTCTTTTTAGACGCTTCACGCGTGCCATAGGAGTTTTGGCCCAACGGAGCCTGTCCCAGATCATGCTCCGTCCGCGGGCGGAAGCAGCGTCCGCTTTGCTCACAGGCTGAGGCCTTTGCAAGTGGGGCCGAGGAGCCTATAGTGAGCCCCAAGTGGATGGAATAGTTTCCAATACATGTTCGAGTGGGGATTACTTTTCCATCTAATTATTCGGGGGTCTATATAAGCAAAAACTGAGGTGCAAAAGAAACACGAAGAGATTTTGTCAGGCGGGCGGCTGGAGGATCAGTCGTGGTTCTGAATTGTGATACTACTGAGTCAGTAAACCAGCAGAAGATGAGAATGGTCGAGTGGGAGTATCTTTGAGTAGGAGGTACTCGTACAGGTAGATATATATACACCTGACTTGGTTCCTGTATACATTCTTTTTCGCATAGTTGGAGACAGCGCGGGCAGACCCAATCATCACAAATGAGTTCAGGAAATGGCCTAGCACAGCACTCATGCCAACCAGGACTGAAGCTCCTATAGAACTTATAAAGGCTCCCTGGTTACAACGGCTCAAAGCAGACTTCCAACATGTCCAACAGCTAGCGCAGATGAAGGTTTCTTGATGCAAAAGAGTGGAGATGTCTCATGTAAAAAAACACGGTCCGTAGTTTGGCCCAAGCTTTATGCTGCAAAAAAACAGATGAGCAGCTCGGTTTCAGATCGCTTGATCGATATAGATTCGGCTCCACAGGTCGATGGCCACAACAGCTCACCTTCAGTTCACCCCAAGTGTTTCACGATCTTGGGGGATCTTCACCTTCCAGGAGGTTCAGTGACCTGAACGAGTCGGACCCGGACCTTTTTCTGGAGGTCCGGGTCCTGGGATAGTCGAAGGACCTCGGGTCCTGAAAAACCTGCACGTGGGCTGCCTTCCCCACCTGCACGCAGGGAAGAGGATGAAGGATGCCGTCATCGTGGAGACGCCGCACCCTTATCCCGCCAAGACGCATAGCTGGACGCGAGCCACTGGGACGCCTTCGAAACGCGCGGGCGCGAGCGGGGGTGGGAGGAAGAGCTGCTTCTCAAGGGTTGGTCTTGAAGGGTGGCACATGGTTGTTGGTCAAAACCTGGAGCCCCTACCATCCTGGTAGGTTGACCATGTTGGGCAATCGATTCTGTTCGTTTTCGATGGTCAACCCAACCAGGGTCCTGACATCCCACGGTGGGGCAGTGGTTTTCACGACGGTTGGCCGTGCTTTTGACTGCTTGCTTGCACACTGTAATGCACACGCAAGGTGACTTGGCCGAAAGACATAACCGTGTGAAGACATGAAGGTCTCAATGATAGAACACGACTCTGAGTGAGCCATGCTCATGCTGGGGCCGCTAGGGTCGCCAGATTCTTTCCCTAGGGCTCCAAATGCCAGCCGAGAAGCTGTAATATATGTTTGGGGTGGGTGGTCTAAGTACCTTCTGAGGATCAATCTACTAAGTTGGTAAATGACATGTCATACAAACCCAATTCAAGATACATCTCAACCCGGTTCCTGCGTGTTTCGCTTCGCTCCACGCCGCTCACCTCCGCTCCGCAACGCTCCATAACGCCGCGTGCGGAGGACGTGTCGCTCCCCAACGCCACGAAGCTGCGGGTGACCTTCGACCCACGCTCGGTGACCTTGGACGATTGCACCACCTTCAAAGCGTTGGCAGGTTCCCCGCTCGGTCTGGAGAGGACCGGTCCGCGGTCCGCAGGTCCGCAGCAAATCTCTATAGGTGTTTCTTTTTGGGTGGTTCCCATGACCCCCCAAAAAAATGCTCCAGATGATCAGGTCATGTATGGAATAGCGATACGCCTCAAGATGTTGGGGTGGTTGGGGGGTCAAAGCAAGCTATAGCATATATGAATTACATACAATAGTATACTTGTGTCTCTATGATTTGCACCCAGCCGTGCAAACACATGATGCGCTGTGTGTGTTTTTTTCTCTGGAAATGGCTTCATCAGAGTGGTGTATTTGGCGATGACTTGGGCATGGCATGGCGAGTATCCAGGTCCAATTGATTCGCCTATTCCACCCGTGTTCCCTTGTTCAGCCGTCTCTAGCCCTTTGGGGGAAGTTGGTGACACTCTAGTAACTCTAGTGCCCTAAGAATCCTTGGACGCAGGGGTCGGACCCGACACCTTGGCAGCGGTCCGGGCCCGAACCAAACCCTATCTCTTTGAGGGCCTGGATTCTTAGGGCGGAAAGTTCAGATATACTTTTACTGTTTAAATCTTTTTTTGAAGATGTTCATCCATGTTCCATCCTTTCACACACACAAGAACTGACAGAGTCTGACAGGACACTTATGGTCCTGAAGGCATTCCTCCACCCAACCATGCCAAGTGTTCAGACACTTTTGACCTCTCAAAGATACGAGTTGAATGTCCCCAGCCTGCCGCAGCGGGCAGGTGGCTTGAGCAAGAGCTTGGCTGGCGTGGGTGCTCGCGCCCACTTGAGGGCCATCTCCGGCACGGACCAGGTGGGCGTCATGGTGTCGAACAGGACGAAACATATGCATGGAGAATGCCAGATGTAACACCAGGTGGGTTTGAACTGTTCGAACTCACAACATGAAAAGTTGAAACCCTTATATATAACCCTTGTTGTAGCATTCATTTATATGTATATAGCTGCATCGCCGGGGTTGTCCAGCTCTTACCCCTGAAACCACTTAAAGGGAGCCGGCTCACTCGACAGCGGTAGATGAAGGTGTCCCAGTGGTGTTGGTAGAGGAAAGCAAACAAATCAATCCGAATCTGAAGGTTCCAGAGGTCAACTTGACGTCAACGAAACTTCCAGACCATGCTGTCACATAACGGGACCGTCCGGGGGTCCGGTTGGTGCAGATGTTTCCTGGTCGGAACTCCGCGGCTTCGCTTCAGGTCCATGGCACGATGGCTGGTCAGGCGGAGGGTGGGAAATGGAGCCTTGGACGATCTGGGAGCCCCGAAAGCGTCGGTTAAGCGAAGCATGTCCAGCACCAACCTGGTGTCCTCCTTTGGTCCTCCTGTCCTGCAAGCCCTGTGTCCTTCTCTTATCCCTGTGTCCTTCTGTCTTTGGCGGCGCTCGAGCCTTAAGTCCTTTCTCTTGTCTTCTTGGTGTGCTCCTGCTGTCCTTTAGCCACTTCGATCCCCTGTGTCCTTGTTGGTGTCCTCCTGCCACGCTTGCAAGCCCTGTGTTCTTGTCTTGTCCTCCTGGTGTGTTTTTGGTGTCCTCTGGCCCATACATGAAGCGCTTGGGGTTGTTGAGTTGACCATGCCTTAAACAAATAAATTACTTGTACTATAGCACTATAGCTCCTCCCAGAGCTGCGTGGAGAAGCTCCTTCCACGTGCTGCCTTCGTCACGGAGAAGGTGGTTCAGACGTTCGGGTCTCTCCCCTGCGCGATCCGTGTGATCCGTCACCGGCGACATGCCTTGGAAAACATCCGTCGGCATGCCTTTTCACGGCTGGCTTGACATGCCTACCCAGACGCGACCCTGGAGGGGTCGGACCCGAATCTTCTGGAGGGGTCTGGGGTCTCAATTCCCTAGGTTTTGAGGGACCAAGGGCTGTTTGGAGCGTCTGGGTAGGTCACATGACTCACATCGACTCATCGAATCGTGGACTCTGGTTTTGTTCAGCCTGCAGATGCCTAACCTGCAAGCTGTGTCTAACAGCCTCAGACCAGGTAGATTTGGGGGGAAGGTTCTCCACATGTCTCCACTTCGACCCATAGACCTGCAGACAGACCAAACCGGGCCACTTCCACAGACCGGTGGGGATGTGCTGAACAGCACGCGCCATGAAACCCCCAGCTATTTGAGCACAATGGGTGCATCCAACGTCCAACAGATCAACAGCAATCATCACTCGTCATCACGTCGTATCACTGGTAACTACTTACCTGCGGCCTTCACTATCGACCATTGCTGGGTGAGCGGACACGGGCTAAATGAATACCTTGTGTGAATGTGTGTGTGTGTGTGCGTGTGCGCGCGCTCTTGTGTTCTCTTTGTGTGTGCGTGTTTCCTTTGTTTGTTGCTTTGACAATCAGTTGAGGATTGTCAACATCGACAATGATGAGACTGAGATTTGCGGCTGCTTCAGCCGCTCAAAAGGCAGACAGCGGTTTTCGCCATCACAACTCCTTTACAACCCGCCTTCGGCGATGCTATGGCGACAGCGTTTCCGCGTCAGGTCACTGTTGTGAACTGTGGTGAAATGGCCTCAGGTCATGCTAGTGTGAACAAGAAAAGCTCCGCTTGAAATTGCTTTGATGTGTTTGACTATTCAACAGGTGTTGCACGGCAGAATGAACTGATGAAAGCAACATCCTGCTTGTGCTCCATCAATATCTTCCAAACTATGCAAGTTCGCCCTACTAAAGCATTTCAGTTCAAGTTTCTTCTCCTAAGCCAATCTCCCATTTCGATCTGCAATGCCGCACAAGTGTTGTGGACATCAAGACGGCGTGCGGTGCACGAGGAGCAAGTCTGCTTCTCCCAAAGCGACCCATTTGGCTCCGAACCAACTGCCATACACCCTAGACTTCCAAGACCATTAAAAAAATGGTTGACCTGGTTTTTGTAGTGTAAAATCCTTAGTTGATTCGGTAAAGCATATTAAGTTAATGGTTTGTTGGAAGCCTAGGGTACATGTTGGTGAAGCCTCCAAAACCCTAGTTCTGAGGATCCATATTAATAGGAAAAACCCGGACCGCCGGTTACGGGTTGGCACCTGAAACTCCACGCTCCAAGCTGGAGCTTTGTTTGTCGCGTTTCCTCCGCGATGGCGAGCCCCAAGCGCTCAGGGGAGTGGATGGATGCAGCGGAAGGGAGACACTGCACTGCCACCTGCGCTCAAGAGAAGAAGGTCATCCGCGTCAAGTGCCACGGCCTCCAGTGATTTTAGATCGCGAAACGGGTGTCTAACGCCCTGAGCACGAAGGGAATTGACAGGATCTCTTTCTGACATGATGCTGGATGAAGCAGTCAGGGTGGTGTTCGGCAGTTGGGGAATTTGGAGATATGATTAGTTCAAAGTGTGACATCAGCAGAGGTTGAAGAACCTATAGACTATCCTATAGGTGCCCCAGGTTACGGGTCCTATAAGGTCGTTTAACCTCTGTTGGCATCAGCTGAAATGAAGCCGCTAGGCCTAAACCGCGCGGCCCTCAGTCCCATTCCCGCGAAACGGGCGAGGTACGACCAGACCGTCGGCGAGGAGATTTCCGGTTTCACCTTCAACGAGGCAAAATCATGTTCAATCCCAAATCGTCAAGTGGGACACCAGTTTCAGAGTAGATGGCACCAGCACCCCCAAATGTGATTTTAGATGGGGGTCTATATATATATATATACATATTTGGGGCATTGTGCCATTTGACCCTCCATCCATTAGTATGCAGAAAAAAAAACTGTTGGTCCCCAAATTGCTGACTGGTGCTTGGAGGGAATGAGGACATGAACTCATGAACCCTTGAGTTTGTTTGGCTCCTTTGGATGAACGTTTCATTCCGTCGACCGACGCCAGCGGCCGGTCCTGCCTGTCGGTATGAACCGCAGCCGTTTGCCCCGGCCCAGTAAGGCGGAGGGAGCTGGTGATTTGTCCCGAAGGATGAGTGAATCCCCGTCCTTTTTGTGGGACATGTTTTGTGTTTTCGGGTGGGTATGACTGGTGTTGGAGTGAGCCAGTGCCTCAGGGAGTGTCATTAGGGCATGCAGGACGAACTGGATCCACAATGACAACAGGTCCAGTCTGAGCCAGTAAAAATCTGGTCCTTTTCCTCATTGAGTAGATAGTTGGTTCCAGTCGATCTTTGACCATGTTGGACCTCTAGGGCTCAGGAAAAGGACATTCACTGGATAACCTCGTGATTTGCTCCACCAGTTTCCTTTTTGGGGGCTAAACCTCTTCGCTTTGACCCAGGACTCCCCCAACAGGTGGACGTGTAACAAGAGAGTAAGCGCAGCGCCAGCGCATCGCTGCGGAACCAGGGCATCGCATTCCCATACACGACCTGTCTGGGACTGGAAGATCTGCCGATCAGTTGGGGTGGTGCCAGGGGGGATCTGTCTGGGGCCGGCAGTCCTAGTCCAGTCCCAGACGTGTCGTGTTTGGGATTGATTGGTCTTCTTTTTTTCTCAGTTGGGTCCTCAGTTGGGGTCCTCAGAGGCGGCCCTCCACCCATACACCTGCACATCACTGCAGACTTAATCCCGCATGATGTTTGGTTCTTTTGGGGGGGGATCCGATGAGGTTGGCGACACACGGTGGGGTCTTCGGTTTTTGGGCATCCAATTCCAGGGAGACACACCCAGCCGCTCAGCAGGGGAGCGGAACGCCTGGCGGTTTGGTCTCCAGACTGAGCTACACATGTAGCAAACGGTTCTATGCCGGTTCTATGCCGGTTCTCCATACCAGAAGTGGTCCCACAAAGGAGCAGAATGTAAAGTCGAGGAAACGACCACCTACCCCCTTTTCCAACAAAATGCCAGGGTCTTTGGTGCATATATCATGAATGATTTATGATCATTCATGTTCATTCATTCATGATCTATATCTTTCTATATGTTGGAAAAAATCAACAGTAAACCCTCCAATCCCAAACCGCCTTGGAAGCAGAAAAAAGAGAGGTTGAGAGACCAGTCTGTGGGACCCTGGTCTGTACGGCTGGACGATCTCTGCACCTGGGAGGGCGCTCTTCGTTCGACCTTAGAGGGGCTCCTCCCGCGCCTGCCCTGCGCCTGGCCGACTCCACCGGGCCGACTCCGTGTCTTGCTCGCCAGGCTTGTCCCTTGTCATCCTTCAGCATCGCTGGATTCACGACGCCGGGAGGGCCCGCGCAGCTGAAGGGCGTCTTCACCGGATGGTTCGTAGACCCTTGGCTTCTCTGGAGAGGAGGGAACCAGGGTTGGAGAGTGGAGCGGGGGGAGCTTGGGCTTGGGCTTGGGTAGTTTTTGGATGTTTTTGTTGGTTTGGTTGTGGTTGGGTGGTTTAACCATTATATAGTGGCGTGAAAATTAGTTGAGGTCCTTCTCCTCTGCTGGGTTTGCCGTGAGGAATACATTCAGAAAACCAAAAACAGAGAGAGAGAGAGAGTGTGTGTGTGCCTATTGAAGTTTGATAATACTAATTAGATCTAATTGGAGGGCTTGTTTTTTCCTCACACCTCGCTTCCCTGAAATCAAGGCCAGAAACAAGACACGTATCACCCTCAAATTCCATGAGACCAAACATGTTTCAGAGATACATATGGAAGTTCGGCAAATAAGGCTTATTCACTAGACTGATTCAACAACCTCTCTGTCGAGTCTAGAGAGCTCCGTTTGTTGCACCTTCTGATTTCTGTGCTTCCTATTTCACGTCTCACGTTTGAGGATGTGATCCACCTGATCAAGAGCCTTGGCTGTGGACACCGGACGGCGCCGCTACAAGAGGCTATAGGAACCTCCATTCCTGCGAAGGGGTTGCGCAATCACTCAGCACCAATTTGTTGGACCCAGACCATTCATAGTTAAGTTACATACGGGTATATTTGCACCATTTATCACCCTACTAATGCATTTCTTATATACACGGATGGTTTGGGATAGTTCGGGCGCAGAGGGTGGGACAGCTTGTTTCTTTGCGCCAATTGTTGTCACAGCGACCTTGAAGTCCTATAGAATCCTGAATGTGCTTCCTTTGTCGACGAAAGAAGCATCTCAAAACACACACTCCCTGAAATCATTGGAAGTGGATGGCATGGCCCCGAACTTGGTATTTGGAGGGATCGTGTTCCAAATACCAAGCAGCTAGTGCCATCCACGTAACCATGATTTTCAGGGAGTGTAGACCTTCTCCTGGCGCCGGAGGGGCCAACCTCACCACCTTCGCTGTTTTCAACTCCTTCTCACTCGGCTCTTTCCACCCAACGCATCGACCCAGGGTCTCCACCACAGCTCCCGACCTCCACGTTCACCGCGTCTCGGACACGTTCCCAAGGCAGAAGGCCTTCAAAGACTTGACGGGCGAGGACCTTGGAGAGGTGCCCATGAATCTCACGCAGCGCCGCGGCGCAGTCGAAGCCGCCGAGCGGCGCCGAGCGGCGCATGTCCGGTGCGGTGCGACGTAGAGCGGTGCGCAGAGTGGAGCGCGTAGATAGGTCGAGCCGGGAGCGGATGGGCTTGGTGGATGGGCGCGTAGAGCTGTGCAGCACGTTGTTGGGGTTGTTAGTTGTTGTCCCATGTGTTGGATGGAAGTGGAAAAAAACATATATAATTACATGTTAGAGTAGACGCACAAACCCCAAGATGTCCTTTAGATGTGGGTCCATATAAACAACCTTCTGGGGATTGAATGCCATCTAATTTCTAGTGCTAGAAGTTGAAGAAGAAAGTTCTGTGCATTGTTAAGAGCTCACGAGTAGGACGGAGCGTTGTTCATTGAATTCAGGGAGCCAATTTCTGACCTGGATCGCCCGCCTAACCAAACTTTGGGGGATTAGTTTTCCATAGTTTTCCCCACTAAAAGTTACAAAAAATGAACAGGATTAACCGGTGGTGTGATCCCCCCCTGGCGTGCCAAGCTGAAAGTCACACGTGCTTCTCCAAGGATCGCGGAGAACATCGAAGGTTTTAAGAAGCGCTTGGAGGCGTTGAGAGATGTGAAGAACATGTCACCTGGGCAAAAAATTCATCGACCGGGGCTCACCCCTCGGGCTGAGCGGCTGGGCTGGGCCTGGCCGGCTGGGCCTTCCAAGCGCCGCGTTTGTGGTGTGCTTGGCTCATGTGGAAGGTCTGGGTGTGGAAACACGGGGGGTATCCAGTGGGAAACAACCAACGAGGACCATCAACCATCACAGAGGAGCTTTTGGCGAGAATACTCTGACACCAAAACTGCAGGCCCTCAAAATCCCTCAAACACTCGGGTTTTAAGGGCCTGGACCCTGCGAAGAGGTTGGGTCCGACCCCTTCATTGGCTTTGGCCTTGGGCCCTTTGTGCGGTCGCCATCGGTGGGGAAAAAAACCACAGAAGTGATGCCGTTGGTGGCATGGCATGGCCAAAGAAGTGCCATTTTCCATTACAAAGCCCTGTTTGTTTCAGGTTTGTTTGCCATGATTCGTAGGTACTTGTCATCTCACACCGGTGAGAGGCTCTTTCCGATAGGATCTCGCCAAGCAAGCAAAAGCGGGGTGGAGACTCGAAAAACCCACACACAACCATTTGGGCAAATGGTCGGTCTCTTGATCAATGTTTTCTTTAATTTAAAACACATGGACAGGTTTTTGCCATTTATATACCTTGACATGTTCTGCAGACCAGCTTGGTGCTCCGCAGAATCGCCCCGAACTGAAGAGAACTCCATCGATTCTCAGAACTCTGGTCTTCTACAATGGCTTGGACTTCCAGCTGCTTCCCAGCTGCGCTGTGAGCTACAAGGCCCGGTTTTAGGGCATTTGTTTGTTCTCCGCACGTTTGTCCCATCGTCGAGGATTCAGTTTGTTGCGGAACTGTGGGACCCGAAGTGTAAGACAAAAATTATTCCAAGACTCAAAATTGATATACTCTAGTACTGCAAGCTTCGTCGAATTCTTTTTGGTTCGGTGGTTTTTGCCCGGTGATGCAAGTGAATAAGATCCGATTATATATTGGTGGATGCCAATGACGGGACTTAGAGAAAACACACGTGGAGAGTTGGGGGAAGACTTACCGTGCCGCAGTGCCAATATGCGCCAATCTTCAGCTATATAGATTGGGCAGAATTGGAGGAATAAGTTTGCAAGATCCAACGATATATCTACTACACACCAGAAACAATTACCCTACCAGATTTGATGTTCTTTCACCTCACTTCTACAACTTGACGACCCTGCAGTGGGCTCCGAATCGGAAAAACGCGTCTCGCGCCAGGCGAAGCGCGTCTCGGATGAGATCTTGGCCCTTGCCAGCAGTGGCCGCGTGGGTCGCAAAGAGAGATCCATGCATCGGGCTCCATGGGGCCCTTCCATGGGGCCATAGAGGTTGGCCTTTTGCTGACTATTGCTTGGTTGATTCATAGAGGGGGGTTCCCCAAGTGAGCAAGCAACAGGTCTATGACTATGTTTTTATAGCAAGCAGACTGACCCCTCCATAAAAGGACATCACTGCAGGAGCGGCTGCTGTAGCACATGATAGTGCTGTAGCGCAGCAGATCTCAATAAAAAACCTAACATGGAATGCTTGGGGTCGGCGTCGCAAAGACCGAAGCTAAGACTGGCTTCTTCGACTGGAACATAGCTAGCTTTGGCAATTTGGCAGGCTGACCCAAGAGCCAATTGACCGAAATGGTCCCCACGGTTGACCCCTGGACTTCTTCAAGATCCCGATTTCGGGTTGGTGGCCCGGCCCACCTGCACCTCGCAGCAGCACCTGCACCTGCACCCACGCACCACACACCGCACACCGCAACGGCCGCCCAACGTGGAGCCCTGCGTCGGGACCTTCAGGGGGCGTTCTCTCCATCGCCGACATGACGGAGAAGGGCCCCGCGCGCGACGCTGGCGTCCGGACGGGCTGGCACGTGAGCCTGCACGAGCCGCTGGGGCCGGTGAGTGGCGGGTGCGGACGGCGCGTGGAGGGAGGAAGTGGAAGTGGGAGCAATTAAGGAGAGCACTACATGGCATAGCGATATGATGTTTGATGGTTTTGGACTTGTGCTGCACTGGTTGGAAGTGCGACCTAGGCAAGCGACCTAGAACCAATCCAAGGTACCGTGCGGTTTGTTTTCCGGTCGCAAGACCAACTACTGTTTTTTTGAAGGTGGCCAGATCTTGCACACCAGAAGCTAGAATCAGCTTTCTGAGCCCACGTGCTTTGCTCGTGCTTTTCTGCGCACGTGAGTTCCTAAGGACCTTCAGCCGCCGCGAAAACAAAGATCTCCTGCATCACTTGACGCCGCAAAAGGCCCGGCTGCCCAGTGCCAAGCCGCACACACATACACACACATACACCTACCAATACCCGGCACCCTTGGGATGGCAGAAAAGTAGCTACCGATTGAAATCCGGTTGAGATGCTGTAACTGCGGCATATGGTCCGGGCGTCCAATGGATCAATCGCCGGGTAGAGTAGCGTAGTCCGACAGCCAGAAGGGATGGTCCTGAATGGTTGGCATGTTTGGCAGTTGAGCAGCTGAAGGAAGGATGGCCCTGGTTTTGCTTAAGGTGATTGGTTATTTTCCCTAACTCCCCTAACCGGTGAATGCCTGAGTAAGGCCCTCAAAAGACGGATCTGATGAAGTCACCCTGCCTTCAGAGCCTATTTATACATGATTGGAATTGCCTTCGAACCACTTGGATGCTCTTCCATCCATACGCATGTACAGTAGTTGCATTTCACCATTGTTTTTGTGCATTACTCCTCACGTTCATTTTCACACAAAACTAGGGGTGTGGCCAGTGTGTGAATATGTTTGTTTTTTTCACAAGCTTCCTGGGCAGCTGCTTTGTCCATGCTGTGCGCGTTTTCCTGGGTCAGGACTAGTCCAATCGGCGGCTTTTTCATGCTTTTTCACTGCCCCCATCGAACAGACCAGAGGAGGACCCGCAGAACCTGTACAACACTTTCGTTATTCATAATTTATTTTGTAGTGTTTTGCGGTTTATGTTCAAACTGTCACGGGCTGTGTTACTTGTCACGGGTTGTTTTGTGGGCCCAGGACCTAGGCTATACAGACTATTCTCGGAGCACAGCTCTCAAGCTCTTTTCTTAGATCATTTTAAGACCTTATTTATATATTTGCCCTTTTCTAGCCGTGGGGTTTCCGTGCCCTGTCAAAATGTTGGAACCAGGTTAACATTGTAATAGGTTAACCCTGAAGAGGTTCGCCCGAAATGAAAGATTACCCAACTCTTGCAAACTGAGGTATTGGAGGACCCCGAGCTGATCCGCACCATTCCAAATCTCACCCTCATGCTGGTGCCTTGAATATTTCAACCAGGTCGAGCGCGAGTAGCGGCGTGATCATTCCAGACGTCCGGCTTTTTGGTGGAAACCATCCATCCATTGTCTCAAGAGCTTCCACCACTCCAGCGGCGGTACCTGGTGGGGATCAATCCTCCCATGTTGAAGGAAAGGAGAGCAACCCAGGAGGTCACAAGTAGAATTCGGACTGGAGGAACCTGCAAAAGGCACAAAAAAGCGAAAACCCTTTTTAGAGTCAGTCAAAGTGAGGTTGAAGGGCTTTTAGCGCTCGAGACGGTCCACCAACCAAAGGGAAGTGGGCCTTTAGCCCAGGTTGGTTTCTTTAGGGCACTTGTTACTTGGGGGTTGCCTCCTCTTTTTCCCCGCCCTTGGAAGATGTCATGATTTCGATGTGGCTGTGGGACAAGGGCCGGGACCCGTAATCCCTGGTGTAGTCCATTCTGTTCACCCTGCAGACACGCTCAAGCCTGAGACGCTCGACGAACGAAGTGTGTCGCATCCACAACATGCCCATTCGATCAGTGGATGCCCATTCGACCCACATGAGGCAGCTACAAGAGATCTCTATATATTCTGATATATTCTGTTCATGTTCGGTCAACGCTTCTTGAGGTGCCATGAGTCAAGTCGCCACACCGCCCCGGGGTTTTGGACGCCCCAGGAACCCGCCAATGCAGAGCCTCAAGAGTTCTTCTGCGGGAAAGAGCGAAGCTGGACGGTTGGCCCGGGGCCGGGAAAAGGAGGAGAAAATCATTGGAAGGGATTGATGGGGGTGCCATAGGTGTCAAAGATGTCACAAGTGAGTGAACAAAAGGGCTGGCAGTCCGAGCAACAAATGTGTCACAAGGGGTGTGGAGAAAAAAACATCGAACACATCGCCTTGGCCTGGAGTCAACTACTTAAGCCACCCAGTTAGTTTCCACGAGCTGAGCGGAGTGCTCGCTGACTGGAGCTTGACAGGAGCAGCTTCGTGATGCCCTCCAACACGGCACAGTTCGTGTTTCAAAGCGATGGGGATGGAGGCCGGGGGAGGAAGCGGCGCCCGCAGTGCCGTGGAACCACCGGTCCGGGGAGTGAACACCTGCCCATCAACTCATGTGGATCACTTGTTCAAGCCTTTTGTTCAGGGATTGGTTTATGATGGTTTATGTGTGAACAGATAACCTTCCTTACCTATAGGGAAACTGAGCAAGATCAGGTGAACTCACCACCAAGTGGCGGCCAAGTGGACCTGGCCGCCTTTCAGCTGCTGCCACCGACGTGAACAACACTACCTGCAGCTTTAGGGATCCAGTTGTACCTTGGCAGGCCGGCAGGACCCGACAATGGCACCCACCCCAGTCCCACCCAAACGGGTCGTGGATGACACCTGGCCGAGGCGACTCTCCGGACGAGCGCTGGGGCGTGTTCGCAGCTGCTTGGGTTTTCAGTTTCGTGCGTCTCTTTTGGACAAGCAGATTGTATCCCAGACACGGCACATGGGACTGCCATAGGACTGCCGCCCCAGAAAGACCCCAACCTGGTACCACCCCTGGCCGTTTCTCGGCAGTCCGTCATGGCAGTCCCATTAGTCGTGTTTGGGTACTGGAAACCGCTTTTCTAATCGATTAGGGGACCACAATGGGTTTGGGCTTTCGATGGGTTGTTGGAATCATCTAACGCCGAGTGTGCAGCAGATCGGCTGGTGGGTGTGCGGAGGGGTAGATGGCACGCACCCCAGCCAAGGAGCGATCCAGATGGGGGATGCCTGGGGATCGCTATTAGTAGGGGCAGAATTTGAAGATGCGTTTCTTTGCATCACAGTTGACCTGCTTGAGGGCCCCTCTACCTTACAATACGTATTAGGCCGTATAGGGCTTTCTGCGCTGCTGAACTGTGACCGTGACCACCTTTCACGGGAAAAATCCAAAAACGTGATCATTTAAAGGTGGACCATCGCTGTGATATGAACAGTGCCCTAGAATTGCAAAGAAACAGTACAAGTTCCAATTCCAATCATGATCCCTGTAATCACGAAAGCTAGCATGCTAGCTGAGTTCTTCTTTGCTTTAGCAATGTTGTGGTGGGAGGGGCTGCGTGCCTTAAAGATTGATATATCAAGCTACCCCCCCCCCCCGCGGTTCAACTCCCAGCTGCGCCGCTTCGCTTATTGTTGTGGTGCATACCACCATTCCACTGAATGAATTGCGTGATAGCTCTGCTGGTGTTCAGACAGCGGCAAGGTGTGCATATGTTTGTGCAATTGTTTGCATCTACAATCCTTGGTCAAGGCATGTCCTACGGTGAGCACGCTCCATTTCACCTCCATGCTACGTCGTTCCTTCAGCCTCCGTCCAGGGTTGGCGTCGTTTTGCTGGTTCGAGTGGCTCATTCAATGCAGAAGTTAACAAACTGATAGGTATAATGATAATGAGTTGCGTGTATATTTGAGATCATTTGAGGTAGTTCATGCTTTGCTACTTGTTGCGGCTTGGTGCTGCTGCTGCTGTTGCTGACGACGCCGCTGCTGCTGCTGCTGCTTGCTGCTTGCTGCCGGTGGTGCTGCTGCTGCTGCTGCTGCTGCGGCTTGGTGCTGCGCTGCTGCTGCGTGGTGCTGCTGGCTGGCTGCTTGGCGGTTGCTGCTGGCTGCTGGCTGCAGGCGGCTGCTGCTGCTGCTGCTGCTGCTGGCTGCTGCTTGCTGCATAGGACTTGTACTTCACCCTTACAAGTTTTTTACCCTATTTCTAACCTAGTGCATGCATAAGCGGGTGGTAAATTTACTCCCAAGGCTTGCGATAACCATACACAGGCTATTTCCTCAAGACACTCTATTCCTGATACTTTTTACATCCTTTTTACCAGTGCTTATCCTACACTACGGACGCCCTAGTGTATGCACAGTCCTTGTGATGCTTACCCCTCGTTCCGGCTCAAGGCATACATAAGCGGGGGGTAAATTTACCCCCCAGATTTGCCATAACCATAAGCCGGCTATTTCCTCAAGACACTCTGCTCCTTATGCCTTTTACCAGTGCTTATCCTACACTACGGACGCCCTAGTGTTTGCACAGTCCTTGTGATGCCAGAAATGCTTACTCCTCTTTCCGGCACAAGGCATACATAAGCGGATTGTAAATTTACCCCCCAGATTTGCAATAACCATAAGCCGGCTAGTTCCTCAAGACACTCTATTCCATATACCTTTTACCCGTGCTTCTCCTACACTACGGACGCCCTAGTGTATGTACAGTCCGTATGATGTCAGAAATGCTTACCCCTCAAGGCATACAAAAGCGGAGGGTAAATTTACCCCCCAGATTTGCCGATCACGCATCTTCGTGCCTGCCAACGAGTGCACCCGGGTTGTTCCAATGTACCCTTCCCAGTCAGCGATGTCACATTTACATTCTTTAGCGCAAAGTATGTACATAGCAACCTTCCTCCCAAAACATGTCATCCCTACATGCTTTGCCGACTATGTAACTAGTACATCCGGTGCGATTCGGCTAGCTTTCGACCTCTCCCCCTGGCCTCAAGTCCTTCAAGCACTAAGACATGGCAAAGAATATGATGTCTGAGACGCCCTCTTTGAAACACCGGACCGGTGTGGTTTGAGCCGATCAAGGCGATCGAGGCCGAGATCGGGCTGGCCTGGTTGGCCTGGTGGTAGCGGTTTTCTGGTGCTTGGTGCGATTATCAAGTTTTCTGGTTCAATCCCCATACCAGGACCCTCCAAGGTTCGGCTGTAGACCCGACCACAGGTGGGACACCTTTCTGGACACCGAACTGGTCACCAGGAAACACCTGGCAGAGGTCGGGTGCTGGTATATGTGTTGTTGTTTTCCCGGTTTCCTTGGTTCGCACATCGAACGAGATCGAACGAGTACATTGCAGCAGGTTTTCTTTTTCAATGTGCCATGATTGCCGACGACCTGGAAGACCCCCTGCTGCGGCGGCCCAGCATTGTGTGGCCCGGACATGCAGGGAGATGTTGGGACATCAACCTGGGGATCCAGTCGTACCGAACCTCAGAAGGTACGACTGGATCCCTCAAAACCTACATAAGAGTATTGAACACATCACCGTACCTGAGGTTCGGTACGACTGGATCCGTAGGGAAAGAGAAACACCACTTGTGCCACTTGGCCACCTTTTCTGAAACGATGTCCGATTTCCTAGCATTTTCTGGCGCATGTTGCTTTCCGCCCTGTAGCATCAGGGTCCTCAATAATTTTTCTGTGTTGGTTGCAGTGCTCTCAAATTCACTCAAGAGCATGGAGAGTTTGCAACTGGCCCTGGAAGGAACTGTTCCTTGGCAAAGTTCCAGGGTTCAACCATGTCCAACCTGGGTTTTCAGCTATTTGCATCTATTTGCAGGAATGGCAGAGAGATGCTGAGAGAAGCAAAGACGGCTACCTTGCTGGGCACGTCAACGGGTATATTTGTTGTCAGGCTGTGGCTTTTGGATGTGTTTTTCTTTCGTTGGAGGCTTTAGGGTATTTGGCTTCTGGAAGCTTTTGGCTCCTTACGTTTGAGCCCCCTCCCCAAGACCCCCCCTCCAGTGATTTTGTGGTTGTTTTTTGTATGACGCCACCTGACATTGTTTGGCAGACTCGGGCAGAGTATGTAGGCAAGAGCGTTTTGCAAAATCCCACGACGGTGGCTTGAGCTGAAAAGAAATCCCCAAACTCTTCCCATCGAATGCGGAACTTCCGAACGCCCCGCCTTCCGCCTTGAGCTACTTCCTGGCACGGGTGGAAGGAAGCCACCGCCGTGGTGAAAGAATACCGGATAGACGTGCCACGAGTCGGCGTAGCTGGTCTCGCGTCGCTCCAAAGCCTAGGCCTAAAGATTCAAGCTGCTCAACCCTCAAATGACCACTCGAATTCGATTGGAGGCGTTCGACTCCCCATGTCAATCGTTGGGTCAGTGTTAAGCAACGTCGCCTCCAGACCACCCAGTGAACTCACGATTTTCCTTTGCTCGACTCCGTTGTTAAGAGGTTGCCCCCAACAGACCGGATGGTGTCCCCATCACACTTCCAGGGAGTGAATTGTGGATCACCTGCAGGACATCTGTTCAATTGGGGAGCCTTCCACGAAAACAAGAACCGGTGGAGGCTGGCGTTCGTTTCACCTCTATGTTCGTTGATTCATGTTGATTCCTCACCCCAAATCCATCAAGGCTCCTTGAATCTCCTTGACTTGAGGTGCCAGGTGTTTTCAAGGCTCAGGATGCTCCAAGCTTCTCCGCCCAAGGCGCTCCAAAGGCCGACTCTTAGACACGGACTCGAGGCCTTCCGGCGTTTGGGAGGCCCCGCGCCAGGCGCGGGCCATGCGCGTTTGGCGCGCGGCGAAGTGGTGAGGAAGTCGGAAAGCTCCAGTGCGTTCTCAGCAGTTGCAAGCACCAATAGGGTGATTGTTTTGTCAAGAGCCCAAAGGAAGCTTGACAAAACTTTCCAGCCGAAGCCCTTTGCTTGTGGTCATTTGGTATCAATTGACAATCTGATTGGCCTGTTTTTGGCGGGGAGTTTCATCCAGCAGGTGAAGTTGGTACATGGTTGGGTGCCCCGCTGGGAATTTGATCAGGTGCGCAAGCACCTCAAAAAAGAAAGCACCACTGGCGTCATGGAGGCTCTCCCCTTGAATGGAACGAATGGAATGTTGATTTGGAGCTTGTGTTCCCAAGTGAACCCCTTCAAACCATACAATGCATACCTATAGCTCTTACATATATAGCACCAGTTTTAAAGAGCGGATCCTTCCCGCACATCGCGTATTCTTCCCCAGTGGTGGCTGGGTACTGGGTTGAACCATTTTCCTTGACCAGTGACCAGAGGTATGGTGCTTCTATATCCCAGACACGACACGTAGACGTGACTGCCATGACGGACTGCCTTCAAAACGGCCAGGGGGCGAAAAGGGGGTCTTTCTGGGGCGGCAGTCCTATGGCACTCCAGGGACTGCCATAGGACTGCCACTCCAATTGACCCCCCTGGCACCACCCCTGGCCTGATCGGTATATATTCCGCTCCCATGGAGTGTTTGGCAGTCACGTCTGGCAGTCCCAGACGTGTCGTGAGTGGGTCGGGAAGGGTGGGTCATCACCAGACCACCGAGACCATTCCACGCGTCCCGTGGCCTGCAAACAACCATTGGTTGGGTGAGGTAGAAATCCACTGCTACAAGTCAGTTGTAGAAGTGAAGTGAAGAGAACATCAGATATCCTACCCAAAAACACTATTCAAGAAGGTGAAGGACTATAGGTTTTACTGGGCCGGACTGGACTTATAGGGTGCAGACATGTCTCCGGTCTACGACTGAATCTGCGGTCCGCGCTTTCGCATGTGGAAGATGTGGAAGAACGAAAGGGATCACATGATCAAACGAATTCAAACCCCAGACACTCCATGGGACTGCCATATATTCTGATCAGTTGGGGTGGTTTGAGGGGCCAATGGGGCGGCAGTCCTATGGCAGTCCCATGTGTCGTGTCTGCAAATGACCAATTACGGCAGCACATGGCACCGCGGCCCGAGTCGAGGGACAGTCCTTGATCATGAGCAGCTCGTCTGGTCATGAGCTGCTCTTGTTTGACCTAAGCAGAAGGTCAAGCTACTTGGTGTTGGAGGGTTCCGGGTTTTGACCTCATCTCCAGAATTCCCCATCTGCATGTAATACGCCTTTTGACAACTTCGACAGCTCTCCAGCAGACAGACCAAGTACTCACCCAAATCCATGATCATCCCCACCGGGTCACCTCGCAGCCGCAGGTGCTGGGCCGCCTGCGGCGCCTGGCGCGCACCACGCTGCATCTCTTCCATCCGCCCCACGTACCCGAAACGTCGACTTCCAGCCGCCCGGCGCGGGACGCGCGCGGCCAAGGCTGCGCGCGGCCGATGAAGAGGGTCGCTGGGTTGGGGCGGCGGCCTTTGGCGCGTTAGAAGGGAGTGAAAGGGAGTAGAAGGGAGTAGAAGGGGTGGAAGCAGCAGCAAGCTCTGTGTTTTGTTACGCCATTTCGGACCCCAGGACTTCCTCCGAGTGGGAGGCACCTACCTCCCTGAAAACCACAGATGAAAGAGTCTTTTTTGAAGGGCTCCTTTTTCACGGTGCATATGGGTCTCTTATGGAGGTATCCCAATGGACCCAGACACTCTAATTATGCCACATATATGCCTACATTGGGGTGGTTTGGGGGATCAATGGGGCGGCAGTCCTATGGCAGTTGTATGTGTCGTGTCTGCAAATGACGTGAACTCCTGCGATTCTCGGACGAGGTCGAGGTAACGCCTTCATGTCTTCGAGGTCTCATGTCTTCGTTTTTTTTGAGGTCCTCAGCGAGATGATCACGTCACCACACCCTTCGAAGACAGCTTCATGAAGCTCTTGACAGGTGTGGCGGAAAACACATGCCGGGGGGGTGGCAGTGAGAGGTAGCTGGCGGCTGAAACAGCTAGAAGTGGATGAGACTCAGAGGATGAAACCTCAGAAGGCTGAGGAGCGGAGCCTCAGGAGTTCCATGGGCTTGATTTTAAAAGAACAGGTGTTTCAATTCAAAGTGGGGGAGGTGATTAAACTAAGAGCCTACTGCCTACAGATGGGGGGGTCCCGTGGATGTCTTCCAGGATGGGTAAACAGGACGAAGTGATTCAACTTGGCGAAAGAGAAGATCGCTCCTGTGAAGGGAATGTATCCATCACCTGGCACAGCGGATCACAGCGGATTGCTCCTCAGAATCTCGATGGAAGGTGAACGATTAGGGGGCTTTGTTCCAACCAACTCCGCTTGGAACTGATTCTGGTTCCTAAAAATGGCTCACACCTACCAGTTGGACCTCAAATAGCCTGCCAAAGAATGCCATGCTCCCACTCACCAGTGGAACATCCCCTGTTCGTAGAGGAACCTGGTTTTGCCTAAGGTGATGGTTTATTGTTCCCAACTGGGTACATCCCCTGGCACGGGGGAATTGTTTCCATTTCGTCCAGGTTCCTGGACAGCAATGGGCAGACAATTGGTTCGGGAGCTTTTGTAGAACTGAATCCACTATCCCAGACACGACCACTGGGACTGGCAAAGGTTTTTCAGCCGCTCCAAGTTCCCAGACCCCAGGTACTATCCCACCCTCTGAGAGCCCTGGGCCCTTAGCAGTCCGGAACTTGCAGTCCGCCGTCGACGGGTGCCTGAACCAACTGCATCCCGGAGGACGCACCGAATCCACCAGGTGCGCAGTACAACCTGGACACTGTGGGCCCCTATGCGCGCCTGCACCTCACCGTCCACGGCGCCTCCCGCTTGTGGCCTGACGTGGGCCGCAGGGGGTGGTGGGTTGGAAGAAACTCAGGAGGATGAATCCTACCTACAGAAGGTAAAACATGGTAAAACCATGATGCATCATGATGCTACAGATGATGATTCATAACCATGCAGTTTTTTCACATGGTGGAAAACCCATTCACGTTCTTGGTGGATCGGTGTTCCCAAACCAACAGATGGGCAAAGGTTGATCTTGGATGTTCCTGTTAAAAAAGGGCTTCGGGGTCCCCTTTTGGGACACCGGTGGGATGAAACGGGATGAAAACAAGTCTGGCAAAAAATCCACTTCAGTCTCGCCAGAGTTCTTCAGTCTTCGTCAGACGAGACTGTGCATCCATCCAAGCTTCGTTTCTTCGTAGACACCTATGGTGTGCAGCTCCAATGGGGAGACTTTCCAGTCCCACTTCAAAACCCTGGAAGAAGGAAAAGATACTACCTGGACCCTCCGACCATGGTGTCCTGGCTGGACTACCCCACACTACCGGCCGTTCGGCTTCCAGACAGGGCACGGTGTCGGGTCCTGGTACAATCCATTGGGCGGGGTACTTCCCCATTTACACCGGATGCGTGGACTAGTCCGGTCCTGCCAGGGGTGACCTGAGGTGGGTGCCTAGTGGGTTTTAGGGTTGTCGGTTCCCATCCCACCTCACCGACCCCATCCGTGGTAGTGCGAGTGTAGTGCTATGATTTGGCCACGTCGATGCCTGAAAGTCCTTGGAACAGGGGCCCTGGGTGGACAGTGCGCCGTTGGGATGACTGGTAATGGAGCACGGTTTCCAATTGACTTGCTACGCCCAGCGGTTCAGTGTCCCAATCCCTACTGGCTACGGAAACGGAAGGTGTGGCACTGAAATCACTGAAGGCAGCAATGGTGGATTTAGATGGTTCATTTAGTAGGTTTGTTGGAAGGAGGTTGCCAACTATATAGATTTTTCTAACACCTCCCGCTCTTTTGTACCTGCCATATACTTTGTTCTTCTGAGTGTGTATTTTGCGAATCACATGAAGCTTTCAACTGATTGATTTGGAGTGTAGGGTTGTTCACAGGATTTCACATGGCAGGTGGTCATTGTATCGATATTATCGGCAGCGAAAAGGCAAGATGCACCCGTTTTGCCCTTTGGTGAGGTTAGCTCAAGACTATTGCGGCACTTCTGATCCCTACGTGGAAGTGTACGTCAACGACATCAAGCGGGTGCGTCTCGCGCGCATCGCGTGACGCGCGTCGTCAGACGGTTTGCGTCACCCACCGGGTTGCCGCGTTGACCTCATAGGGCTCACTAAGGAGGTGGTCCTGCTCATCAATCGGAGGCCAGGTGAGATGTATCATTTGCCATGAGATTCGCCCATATCTTGGCAGATGTGATTTGAACTGTATGTAACCTATACGTAATTAATACCATTGGTTGATATTGGGAGAATGCTCCCAGATGAATCTTGATGAGTTTGACCACGCTTTCCACTAAGTTTGAGGACATATTTTTATAATATATTGTTCTATTATGTTGTATTGTTGTCAACCCTTCTTCACTAAAATTGACTTCCAATACGTTCCAGCTCACTAACGTCGAAACGCGTAAGTGGAAAGCAGAGGAAAGTAGTCTTCCAAGCGCATGCTGGACCGAGGGGACCAAACGATTCTGCAGGTCAATGTAGCAGATTCAGTTCGCTGGAGGCTACGAGCTGGCCTTTGTTCTTAAGTCTTTTGTCCCGCCCCTTCAACGACAGTTTTAGCCAACGTATGTTCCTTCTACTGACCTCAGCATCCACTCATGACCAAGTTATTTCAGCGGTATATACTAATAGTAATATATAGTATAATAGCAATAATAAGAATAACTTAATAACACCTATATGCATGTGTGTGTGCGCAGGTTTTCTACGCCGGGAAATTGCGAGCCGTGATGTGCGTGAGTTGTCGCCTTCGATGCTACGTAGCCCTCGTAGCATCGAAACAAAGGAAGTTGAGTCTTAAAAGTGACCCTTTTGGTATCCCAGTTTGAGGTCACTTGAGGAATCTTGGACATGTTTTCAAGGGTCCAAAGTTAGGTCACGAAAGAAGAAGCTGTGCTTGTACAGAATCCACTAAAGAACAACCATCCAGCGGGGTGGTGTTTTAGTCCCATCCAGTGAGTGGAACCCCGGCTTCCAAGTTCATTCCGAGCCCTCAGTTTCATGGCACCGAGGGGTAGCCACCCTAGTGGTCCTGCCGCGGCCAACCGTTCAAACCGACCGGCCGTTGTCCGTCTCAGGGTCAGAGCCGGCACGTGAACTTCACCCTGAATCCTCAGTGGAACTTCTCAGCCACTTGGCGTCAAGCAGGGCCCGTCCTTTTTTTGGAGTGACCCGGTGGAACACTCACGCAGGGCCCTGAAAAACCTCCAGGTTTGGAGTGGAAAACACTCTTTCCGGTCCCATTCGCCCCAGGGAAACTTGGTGTTTTCGCGAGAGTAGGGTGCAGCATCTACTTGATATATATATATATAGTTCCTAGGGATCCAGTCGTACCTTCTCAGGTACGGCACCTGGACCCTCCTGGCACCCACCCCAGTCCCACCTTCTGAGAAGGTACTTGGATCCCTAGGGAGTAGGTCCTGTCACATCTACGGCCCCTGGATCCGGGTGATTGGAGGCACTGCCATTGTCGGGTCCAGTCGTACCTTCTGAGGTTCGGTACGGCTGAATCCCTAGGGGATGGGATCCCACCCCTCCAAAAAAAACAAGAGAGGTAGCCAGTGACCTGAACTAGGACCCGTCACCTGGGGTACCCAACTGGGATAGTCTAGTTCAGGCTCTTCAACCTTTGTTGGAAAGCACCCCAAAAAGCCACCCAACTCCATGAAACTGAACATATTCCGGACCCGTCCGCATCAGCGCGCCGGAGTGGAGGCGAGGAACTCCTGGCTCTTGAAGAGTGACCTTTTCATTTTTGGGTGGACTAGGTCAACCAACAGCCCTCTTTTACAGGTCACTTCTTCAGAGACTCCAGAGACTAGGTCACAGCAAGAAGCTGGAACATGAGGAATCGGTTGAGGATGAGGAATCTGTTCTAGGTTTGTTGAACCAAATCTGTACTACACAGCATTTAGATCGAAGAGTCGAGACACAGCACGCCACCAAAAAGCACAAGCATGTCATTACAAGATATTACAAGTGCTGGTTCATAGATTCCTTCAGTGGGACGTTTGTTCAGACTCCGACCATGGGCATGGAGTTGGGAGGAAGACCACGTGCGCTCAGGAGGTGGTGGATATTTGGTCGCCCTTCTCGATCATCACTCTCAGGATCGTTGATTGGGATCGGGCAACTCGACCTACGTGTCGCAGCGTAGATGTTGCCGAAAGGAGAAGCCAGGATGGAGACATGGACAGTTCATTACTTCTGAAACTTTCTCATTGAATTGCTTTTGACCTTTGACTTTTGGGACTGTTCTTTTTGATTTTTTCAAATTGTTGAAGTCAAAATGACTTTTGGGACTGTTCTTTTTTTTGATCTGTGCTTTTTTCTTTTGAACACAGGCTCTCTCCAATGAACGATGTTTAGAAGAATAACCCCCCTACCAGAAATGATTTTAAATCTCCACATGGGGGTTCTTTCCTCAACCGTTTGCATTCATGGAAACGGTTTTTTTTGCCAGGTGACTCAGGCGTGTATTTCACTGAGTCTGCTTGGGGAAGCGCTGCATACAGCAATGGGAGCACAGTCCGTTGACTCGTTCTTCTGACTCCATCGCTTCGCTTCGCTTGGCGGATTTCCAGGTTCCTTGAGCCCTAGGCTTCCGGGCTCACCAATTTAAAAGCCTTTCTCCCGAACCACCATTGGTTTACGATTTTACACAACCAGGTCAACCATGTTTTCATATGTTTTCATGGTCTTGCAAGTCGCTAAGCAGTATATAAGCAAATCCAAGAATGTCCTGTTTGTAGCGGTAGCTGTCCGCGGAACAAGTTTGTCCTAATTTACGTCTCCGACTGCATTCTACTTCGGACGTATACGGTGGTAAACGGACATCACCTCCAAGGGCCAATAGACACCCCCAAAAACAAGGCCCCGGCATATGTTCACTTGAAACTTAGGGTCCTGATGTGATCTTTCCAAGGGAAAACCAATGCACACCAGGAAAGCCGCCATCAGCTCTCATCAGCCCTGCGAGCCGCGGTCCGCCGCGTTTGAGGTCAGCCAAGACGATCCGATTGGTGTCTGGTCTGAAAAGACTTAGATCTTCCAACTGTGCTAACTTACACCCCCGGAAGAAAACAACGGAAGTTGAAAATCCCCTGTTTGTAGAGGAAATCACGGTTGCCTTTTCATCGACCAGCCAAGTTAGGCAGACATATCACATAGTCGGAAGATCCGCGGATTGTGATCACATAGCCGCCTCAGAAACAGAAACAATGGGAACTGGTCATTGGAGATGAGGTGCCCTGTCCAAGGGCATGGTTCTTTTCGTGATGGGGTGCGCATGATATTTCAGGAGCACGTCTTTTTAGGTCCACGTCTCTTTTTGGTGGGGAAAGGATGTCCAACGTCCTGGCTTTACCCTCCATCCAAGGAACATGTAACATGGATATGGAATGGCACATGATGGCATGGCCGGTCAGTTTTCTTGATTGCACACCCTCATGGCTTTCTCCAAATCATTTGTGCCCACACGTTCCTGTTTATTTACTACATCGTCCGCTTTGCTCCCGTCAGTGTCTCCGGCTCAATTGACTCCTGGATGGAAATTTTCTGTGGCGCTTGCACCGCTGATTCCTCCAACGAGATGCTCAAGAAATCCTACAAGCGCCTTCGACTTGGCAAAGAAAACAACAGCGCGAGAAGACGCAAACTGGGCGTGGAAAACGCGGAAGATTCGATGGGGGCAGCTCACTACACTGCTCACTTATGGTGGATTGAGAGGACCAATGGCACAGACCCCAATGTCGGTAGTCTATTTAGACAAAAAAACATCTAAGGATATCATGCGGTCTGTGCATGTTTGTGTCATCGAACCTTTGAAACCACTGTTTTGTGAGGGCAGCCGCCCCCCAAGCAGCAGCGCCTTCGACCTGATGGAGCCTTGAAAATACATGTTCAACCTCTACCGACCAACCTGGTTTTGTTAAAGCCATGGAACCATCGGTATGTGTTATAGTTATAGTGTCTTTTTTCGTGCCTCATTGATTGACCTGGTTCTTCAGTTCATGACCGATTCGGGTTTCGTCACTTCTCCAGGCCGGAAGGTCGATTGGACCATTTGGCAGATTGAATGTGGTCACCGGGGAATGCCTTCGTTCTTTGTCCCAGTTCCTTAAGCAACGCGAAAAACTTCACATTATAGTACCCAGACACTCCATGGGACTGCCATATATGCCGCCCCATTGACCCCTCAAACCACCCCAATGTAGGCACATATATGGCATACATGGAGTGTCTGGGGTATGACAGTATGGCGACCAGTTTTACTGAAGAGCTTGTCTTTTGGGTCCTGAAAACCACCATTGTCTTTTTCTCCGTGTTGCGTTTTGGGCCCTCAAGAGTTCCAACATGGTCAATCTCAAGAGTTCCAACCTATGCCAACAACTTCCCCGGAGTTCCAACATGACACAAACACCCCATGATGCTGGTCGCATGCGTGTTTGGCACCGAACCACATCCAACGTACACGCCGACCACCACGACGCAGCATAGAAGAGATGCTGCAACAGTTCGCCAGAACCCTCCACCGTCGCACCGTCGCTGTCGCGTGCACGCACGTGGCGCTCCATCCAACGGCGCTCGCGTTCAAGGCTCACCTACTTTGACATCCGCGGCCTCGCTGAGAACTCCCGTTTGATCTTGGCTGCGGCGGGCCAGAGCGACCTGGGATTGAAGAGATCACGTGTTGTTTCTTTTGTGGAAAATAGTGGGGGGCTTGGTGCCCACAAGAGAGAAGCTATAGGGAGAGTTCTGCTGAAGAGAATTGTTCCTGGTCTTGGTGCGAACAATGGAGGTTGGAGAACTTGTTCATCACGAGTGCTTATATTTATTAATGCTAATGTTATGCACGGAAATCCAATTGAACCTCTTGGGCAAAGCCTAGCAACAAAAGACTTTGGAGGACATTCCGTCTTGCCAACAGTCTTCTTTGGGATCAAAGGTAGACCTCCATCAGGACATATCAGCACTATGGAAGGCAGGTTGAGATGTTCTGATTGGGCTGAGCTGGCCATTTGGCTTTGGATCCAGCCCCCGTAATCGGTAGGTTGACCCTAGTAGTAGTCGTCGTTTAGTCAGTGTGTATTCATGTGTATTCAACAAACTTAGCAATCAGCAATAGTGAGATGACAGATATGACAGCTCGGAAAAAAGTAAACATCTGCCAGCACCTTCCTTTCGCGGTCTCCAATGGACTACACTGACTACACTTACATACGTGCAATCTTTAAACAGATCAACATAGGACACCCTTTCTTCAGGTCCAGGTGGTTTCTTTGGGGAGGACGTTTTGAAGGGAAAAAGGCCTTCCACAGTGGAGGCCCACACAGTTCCCACGGCCTTCCCTTCGCCTCCCTAAGCTGCCGGCCACATCTGCGAGGCTACGAGGACGTGCGCTTGAGCTTAAGCTTCGGCACACCTGGGGACTTCAGCGCCTCGGCGTAAGGGGAAAACCACCGGGGTGAGTCCGTTCTTTCGGGACAGGGAGAGAGAGAGCAGGTCTGACGAGATGGTGCGGGTGAAAAGGGTGAAGTGAGAAGGTGGAGAAGGTGCTGAAGGATCCACATGCACATGTTCATGATGACTTATGTGTGTTTATGTTAGTTTTTTTGGGGGGAAGGAGATTGTTGGCCTGGTAGGGCAGGTAATTCTTCCTAGATGCGGTTGACACTTCAGCTTGATAGGAGGTGGATGGAGTCCAACTGAGAACTCGCCCTGCTTGCTGCTGGCGACCCAGGGTGGGAGCCGGAGCTCCCTCCACCCCAACTCAGTGCGACTCGACTGGGGTCAGGATTATCCGATCGTCCCTATGGATCCACATACCTTCTCAGGTAATTGGGTCCCCTAAGCCTATACATATAAATCATATAAATACATATAAATACTATATGGATGCATAGGGCGTGGACCTCTCTCTCTTCGGAGGCCACAAACAACACACCCCGTAGGTTGGCACGACATTCGGAAGGAACCCATGCGAGAGAGAGAGAGAGAGAGAGAGGTCCCATCCATTGTTGCCGGTATGGGGATCGAGATGGGCAATTATTCCAAAATGATGTCCGGTCTATCAAGATGAGACATGATCTCAGAGACTTTTGTCGAGATGTTGATGCAATCGCCCCATCGCTTGCATTGAATCGTTTCGATTGATCTCTTTCGCCTGGCCGGGGACACATGCGACGGGAAGACGCTTTGACTCTGACTGAGGCACCATCAAGCGCCCTGAGTTTGATGCCATGAAGGCAGCGGGACAGTTGCCTTGTTTTGCATGTTTGTAATTTTTCATTATTTTTTCATTTTTTCCGAACTGGGTCAATCTCCTTGCAGGGGGAAGATATGAAGATTTCTTCTTCGCGCATGGGGAAGGTATGGGAAGACGTATATATGTTATTATAATGTTAGCTGAAGGCTAACCGTTCATATGTGCCTCTCATCAGGACAAGTGACTTCACATGTGTTTGAAGATGTTCCAAAATGCACCCTCCAGCAGTCACAAGACGGGGTGCGGAGGATAGGGGGTGCGCCTGTCACATCCACGGCCCCTGGATGAGACTAAGGGACCACTCAACTCCATGTGACTCCTGGCTGAGGAAGATGTGATTCTGTTTTATTCCGTTCCCGGCAGCTGCAGTCTAAGGTTGGATTCCTCTCTGGGCAAAGTGCCTCTTTTGGAGGCGCCTGGGAGAATCGGACTGAACAGCCCGTGCTGGGCCACTTGTTTTGGATGGGGGCTGTCGCAGATCACTTGGCAAAATGGGGGGGTGGAGAGGGGTGAAAGCTGTCCCCTACCAGCACCCTCCGACAGGTCACCAATTGAGACCTGTTAGGGTCCAACAACCCTCAACTAACAGCCTGTTGGAGGGTGCAGGTAAAGGAACTCGTGTTGGAAAAACGCCTCTCCGACATGCGATGGTCGCACGGAACGTTAGCAGGAAGTATCTGAGGTGAAGCCAGGGAAACACCAGGGAAACACGAGGTACTTCTACAGTCGAAATGAAACACCATCAAGATCCAACAGGTCACCAATTGAAACCTGTTAGGGTCTAACAATCCTCCATTTCGGAGACCTGTTGGGTTCGGTGCTGGAAGATGTCAATTCACGGATTTTCCCCCAGTCCTCAAGAGTCCTCCAGCTGATCCGACCGGTCCGACCTTTATGGCGGCCTGCCTGGCCAACCCCATCGGCCTAGCCGACGAGATCCACCTCGATGGGGGGTTGGATCGGATCCAGTGCCGATCCAGGTGGATGGGGCCAAGATCGGCCAGTCCAAAGCCATCGAGCGCTTTTTGGCCAAGGAGTTGGGCATGATGGGCAGCAACAGCGTCGAGGTGCTGCACATCGATTCGATCGGGTGCAGCGCGACCGGTCGCGATCGGCTTCAGCGTGCGAGCGAGCCGGGCTCGCGAGCTCGTGCTCAGGTTGGCCAAAAGGTTCGGGAGTTCAAGCTCTTAATTGCCTGACATTCGGAAGGCTTAGTGCTACATTGACCCTGAAACCACCCGATGTAGTAGGTCCAAACGTGTCAGTCCCAGGGCTTCTTCCTCCCCAACGCGCCGCTTGCCCGCGGCCGACCTGCCAGTCCAGCGCCAGGCCGCGCAAGTGGATCAGCTGGGCGAGACGGTGCGTGACATCAAGGAACACCGGGTCGAGCGGGTCCAAGCGCCGCACGGGTTCGGCGGGTGAGGCCGATTCCAAAGCCGCAGGTGGGTGGTTAGGAGTTCTTCCAGATCCCAAGTGCCCGGATACAAAGATGCATCTTAGGCCACAAGAAGGGGTTGTCCAAAGACAAGTCATACCCTGCCAGCGGATAAGAGAAATCACCCTTTTGGCGGGGAGTGATGACCCCACTGAAGAAGAACAGGTAGGAAAAGCTTGAGCTTTCTTTTCCGGTGAGAAACCAATGCAAACTCAGCCGCTAGAAACTTGGAGCTGTTTCGGAACCCGAAATCGGTGGATGAAAGGCATACAGGTGGTTTTCAAACATTCCATTCGAGAAAACTTGGCCAGATTGCTCGAAGAGGTTGATCCAAATATCTACCAGTTCACCAATATGTGGGCGGCATCAGGATCAAAAGAAGCTATTTGAGTCTGGATTGCGTGCCTGGAGTGGTTGTATTCGGATTCGCGTGGCTAGATGTGGATAGTGAAACACCACATACTGGGTGCCGCGTATGCACGGCTCCCCGTGCATGGGCACTGGAACCCTTACCTGCCATCCCATCGATGGGTTCTTTGAAGATGTGCTTGGGTCCTCAGGGCTCCTCCTTCGGGCGGTGGATTTTGCGTGAGCGTGGGAGGATTGGAAGTTTGTTCCCTCGGTTGGTCGAGCTTCTCCCACATGAGGACGCCTACCAGAAGGTCCGCGGCCTTCAAGATGAGGCGGCCAAGAAGGCTGGTATGGACAAGTGGTTTGCCGAGGACAGAAGTGCACAAAACTGATGGTCATTATGATCATGTACAATGTCTCCAGGGTATGTTTAGTAGATGCAAGCTTTAAGCATATTCAACTCACTGGTATGAATAGTATATAGATATATAGATTATATATAGCGTTCAATTTCTTCAATTTCTTCCACCAGATGCGTCAGTTCTTCTCCCCGATTTGACTGGAGTTTCTCAGGTCATTGGCACATCCAACTCGGCCGATGTCTGCGTGGTTCCAAGGTTCCTCAGGTGACGCACGATCCAGCACCACCCCGCCATACCCCGCCATACCGCCACGCAACACCTGCAAGCGGTCACCTGGCTGGAAGCCCCTACACTAAGGGACCTCCATTGGACACCCCATTGAAGGTACAGGTGGGTGTGGGTGTGTGTGTGTGCGCCTTTTTTTTCAACTTTTGGCATTTGGGCGCACATGGCAACGCACTCTCTTGTCCAGGACTTGCCTAACTGGTGCGCACTGGCAGAGAAGTCGCTTCCTCCTGGACCAGGGCCTTTCTTGGTGGGTGGCAAGGTTTCGCTCGCCGATATCTTGTTCTACACCTTGCTTCTTGCTCCAGGCCGCTTCCGGCTTCCATAAAGCCATGCTGGCATGATGGTGATCAGGATTGCTCTTTTGGCGGGGCGTTCACACACGTCCTCCTGAAGGTTGGTTTTACAAGATTTGGATATCTCCAGTCGCTCGCCC